CAGATACAGCCCTGCCTATTTCATGGCAATCAGCCTTCAAAGGGGCACAAGCACCCTGCTCCACCCAAGCTTTCTGCATCAATAAAACCACCCCACTCTCGTGCACTGGAGTTTCTGACATCTTTTGAAACAGTCTGGTTGGGAGACGGCGTTCCCAAAGATCACGCTGTATCCCACATTTGGAGGCCCTTCACCTTTGCAGATTGGTTCAGACTTCCCTGCAGACTCAGGAAGGCGCTAACAGCAACAATCGTTCAGAAACGGGCTGAAGAACACACGTACAATAAGCAACAAAACCTCGCTGTCAACAGGCAGCTTGATCTAAACTCCTTACCAACAAAGTGACACACCACAGATATTTAAGACAAAGCTTCATGGAGCAGCCATGTGACAGACAGATGCTGCAGGAAGAGTCCATACTTCTGTCCTCAGGGAAAAGGGGGCTTTAAAGGCCTTTCATGATAGAGACATCAGTCAGTAGCCTGCCTGAAAACAGATTTTGATAACAAACACAGGATTGAAGTGGGAAAACCCTTACAGTCTTTGATCAAAAACCGGAAAACAACCCAGGAGACTTCATGAAAGACTTTCTGTTCAGGAAAACCAAATTTTAAACAACCAGCCTAATGGATAGGAGATTGAGGGGGAGAAAAAAACTGGAGGGAAATTGTATTAGATAAAAATCTGTACACATAACTGAAATGTCATTTTAAGTGTGATATTCTGCTTTATCATAGTTTAAGAAGCTTCAGAACAGGAGGCTTTACAACAGTTATGCTTACGGAGGTCACACAGACACGAGGAAAAAGCCACAGAACGTGTCTGTATGCAGCTTTGTCTTCCAGAAGCCTGAGGATCCTTCACAACAAATGCCATGTGCTGTTCTCAATGTCACATGTTTCAGTCAAGGGACAACAGAGGGTTGTTCAAACCCAAGCTTTGGACACAGCAGATGGTGACAGCCTACATTAATGCTCTGCAATAACCCCAGGGAGCTTGGAGCAGAGAGGTGGAAAATTCCCCCAAAGAACCAAGATTAGTTGGTGGTACAGGCTGAAAAACTACAAAGCCACATAGAGCTCAGAGGTAGGACTCTGTGATGAAAGCCCCATAGGCAGAAAAGCAGATAAGGGGCATCCTGACACAGCAGAGACCTCTCTTAACCAAGGAAGAAATAAATTAGCCACATAGGATTCTGAATTTCTCTGAACAGAGAAGAAAACATCTTCATCCCAGTTATTCCAGGATTTTACAAAGCCTCTAGTGATACTTTGGTTTCAGGAAGCTCTAAGGAATGAAATACCTTACAGGACACACACACACACTTTTATATAAAACATAGATATATATAAGATGCCAGCAGGAGCTGTGCAGTAGATGCTGATCCTGAGGACATCAACCAGCACAGTGCCAGATGCTGTACCTCTAAGCCTGGATCCCAAATCCACAGCTGAGCACCAGCTAAGGAGGGAGGAAAGGTCCAAAGAAAGAAACAGCAAACCCAGTGCACAAGGAACCAGTCTGATGAGTGACAGAACATTTCAGCCTGCTGTGACAAGGGATCTTTATTGCACAGTAGCAGGTTCCATTTGCTAATAAAGCTCACACCAAGACAGTGCTATTTTCAAGGTTTAAACATGTTGCTCGATTTCACACAAATCCAGAGCTCCTGAGGAAGCCTTTCCACCTATCATTCATTACTTTTTCCAGTTACCATGTCAGTACAGCTGGACAGGGCATTGACAGACCAGTACTTTATAACAACAGGTGCCAAAGAGGAGACTGTCACCATCAGCTTCTCAATTAGTTGCTACAGATCTACTTGTACCCCTAAGACTGGGGACCTTAGAGTACAGAATGACAAAGGCAACGATGTTGTACATGCAATTTAGAATCTACTCCTCCTGCAAGGCAGCCGTCCAGATGCAGACTCTGGGTCTCAGCTTCTTGTCCTACCGCAGCAGGTTAGCAGACAAAGGTAAGAGGAGAAGCAAACAAGATGTGCTCGTTTGGAAGAGCCAGTGAATTATTTCAGTGCATTCCTACCTCAGCAGCTTTGCTCCATGTAAGATGAGGCTCTCTTGGAACTAGCAGACCACTGCCAGGGCTCTTCACTGCTTGCCACAGACAGCACAGTACTGCTGGCAGCGAGCTGCAGGGCTCAGCAACGCTCATCTGCCACACAAACCCCTCCGCTTTCCCCCTTATCCCCACAGGGCTACAGCAACTGCAACACCACTAAAAGGACATGAACAGGGACCAGCTCCTTGCTGCACAGAGCCCCAAAGGGGATTTTCAGCCCTCCACGTTGGCGCTTTCAGTTTTAGGGTCACAGCTGAACCTGAGCTGAAGAGCTGTTAACACGAGGACAATGAAACAAAGCAATACAAAGAGAGACGCTGGGCTCTGAGATTAGCTCAGAGCCTTTCAGAAAGCTGCTACAGCCCAAGCAGAGTCAATTTGTGAGGAAATCTCACTACTGAAGAGATGATATGCCTCACTGCTATGACAGAAGCAATTCTTGCCACCACAGCCTCACAAGCCTTGATTTAAACTGATCAAACCAGACACCTGCCTGCACAACGTAATATGACTTATATCAGCATCAAGAGAAAGAGGCAAGCTTTGAAGTGGGAAAATATTAATCTGGTACTGTGATGTCTGAAATCTTATATCTAAGTGCTTGCATATCGCAAGGCCTTCATTTCACTTAGACAGGAGTGCTAAAATGTACTCAAAGCAAACAGAAGACATTTAGCTGAATCAAATTACATCTATTTTTTCCTATTTCTTTCCTCCCCAGGAAGCTGTTTTTACATCCCTGCAAGCGTTCTGGAGCATAACCAGGCCCAGCTATGCACGGGGAAGAAAAGGAAGGGTGTCACTTAAGTAAATAGTTTTCCAATAAGCTTCCCCACAGGGTGAGTTTTCCACCTGGGAGGTCAAACACAAGGGCCAACATTTTCTACTCTCGTTCTCTGTACTAAGTTTCTAAATAAATGACTAGTTTTCAAAGGGTCTGTAAACCTCCCTCCCAAAAAAGCAGGAAGGAACTGCAGGTGCTTGTTTTTAAAGCCAGGCTATTCCCGTTAGACTGAAATCCATGCAGGCACCTATCGTTTTCACAGCTACAACCATAGGTTCTCCAGACTTCCCATCGAACATGCTTTTTACAAATGCATTTCCTTGAAACCTGGGATCCCTACACTCACAGCGAGCAGCCTTCCTAATCCACTTACACCTTTCTCACACTTCCTCTTTGGGCAGGTGCTGTTGCTTTCCTAACACCAGAAAGATTTCCACGAGGGTTGGGAAGGTGACAGCATCGCATTTCTCCCACGGCAGAAAGACACAAATCCCAAACCAGCTTCAAAGAATCAGGAAACAATGCCCAAACCAACCACTGAAGTTCACCCCACGAACAAAACAAATCCACGACGCTCCACAGTGAACACATTCATGGATTCAGGCCAAATTTTAGAGAGTCAAATATTGGTTTAGAAGTTTGCCTCGATCCTTCAGGGTGCTGCAGACAGTACACGTACAAAACACTGCTGTCGGTGAGATTTACAACCTGCATTCCTGCAGAACTTCTCACTGCCTCAGCATCTGGCAGTGAGTTGGAAGAGAAGAGAGCCCAGGCCTGCAGCAGCCCTGATGCAGATCAGCTTGGATGGCTCCTTGTGTGCACCTCACACCTCCTGCTGTACCCACACAATTAGCTTGTGTGGTGTTGGATTCGGCTTCTGTAAAGCACAGCACCTAACACAACAAGCTAACTAGTCTCAATTAACATCAGCATGGAATCTGTTGGCTGCTCTTCCCTAATCTCCAAAAGCTATTAGACCCCTAAAGGCAAAAGGCAATGAAGTTTATCATAACAGCCTAGCATGATAAATACAGAAGTGTTACAATGAAGCATGCAAAAAAAAAAAAAAAACACTCCCCAAAATCAGGGTTATCTACAAATACTAACATAACCTACTTGTGTTAATCTCTCATTATGATTTGCCTTGCAAGGACACATCAGAGTTTACCATCTTTAGCACATAATCTACTGCCACACTCTTGAGAATCTAGCAAGCTCTGTAAAAAGCACACTGCCACCCTTGAGTGATGGGGCATAGTTTTGCAAGTGACTGAGTTAAGCATATACTTGATTTCCAGTCCAAAAGCTGTGACAGACCTCAGGCCCCTTGTACCCAGCTGAGAAATCCATTTCTTTTAGACTTATTACAGAGAATTTAATGCAGTGACATTTATGAGTTCCTCCATAGTAGCTCATAAGATCAGGGAATCCAAGTATTTTGCCATAAATACCATTCAGAGGAAGTTTTAACCCATTACATAGGAAGATGAAATTTGAGCTGCCTGGCTTTGGTTGCTTGTTAATGCTGTGGAGTGTTTTAATAACTTTTTTCAGATCTCTGTAAGTTAGTTGGCTTTTTGCCCTGACCATCACATTTAAGAGACATTCACTGTACTACTGCAAGATGTGTTTGCTTTGTTACTAACAGCAAGATTTACTACAGCCAATACTCTATCAGAGATTAGATATTACGCAGGCATCTCAGGCTGAGTATCAGACAGACTCGGACACCCAGCAGAAGCCAACCAGCACTCTAAAGAGGAGATGCAGAGGGAGCTGTGCCTCTGCCTTGAGCCAGCTCACATCCAGCAGTCTTATTAATTTGGACTGCACATCACAGAAACTGGGCTCTCCTAGTCCTGAGCTGATGCTGGAAGCAACACAGCCACATAGAACCGACGCCAGGGGGATGAGGTCCTGCCAACACCAAGCTGGCTCCACACAAAGCCATTTGCACATGGACTATGGCTTACTTGTAAATCAGAACGAAGCCACCCACAGGTAAGTAGGGGCTGACTCACTTGGACAGAGTAGAAGCGACTCCTGTTAACTCACTCATGGCTAAAACATCACATTCAATTCCAGGGTAATTGCAGCAAAGGCACAAAGCAGTTCTTTACTTTGAACTCACCTTGGACTTGACCTGCAGACAAGAGACTGGTTCTCCTGGCATTTGCTGCCAGCACATCCCCACTAAAGTGCTCAGTCAACAAGTGTCCAGCCGCCATATCAGTGTTGGCAGGACACCTGCCTCGTTTCTTATGTCTCCTCCTCCACACATCCTCCTCATCCTTTTCATCAGAACCAGAAGACTTCTGCAGAGCTGCGCTGTGTCTCAGGCCGGTCGATACTCGCCTACCCATGGCATCACTCAGATTTAACGAGTCAGCCGCAGCCCCGTGCCGATGCACATAGCAGTCTTCCTCCACCTCCAAGTCTCCTTCTGAGTTAACGCTGGCATTTTTCCTATGAAGACATCTGTTAAAAAGGGTTTGGGGTTTATCGTTCTCAAACCCTCCAGGCTGTTCCAGGTGAGATGCTCTGACTGGGGAATAGCTGCACACATTCAACCCATTCCTGGCCAGGTTTTCCTTCACCAGCCCTCTCCGCAGGGGCAGCTCCAGGTCTGAGCTGTGCTCGTTGGACGTGCTTTCTTCCAACTGCATCTTCTGTGCAACTCGGTTCATGTAAGACCGGAACCGACCGCTGTGGTGTTTTTGCACAAGCCGAGCGTAAGCGTTCTTCTGGGGAACGGCGGGCTTGCTTAATCCTTCCTTGGCACCTTGGGCAGGAGCACTTCTTGCATGCCCCAGTGGATCCATAGTGTGGTAACAGGGCCAGACTTCAAGGAGTTATAAATAGACACGGGGAAAAAAGAGGGTCATTTTCTTCAAACAAAATATCAAATAATTACCTACGCTAAAGACACAAACGTACTGAATGAGAACATATTGACCTCTTCACAAATACCAGTTTGATTAACTGCTCCACTGGGGGAAAGGGTTTCACTGTGTCGTTAACACCTGCCCCATACCAAACCACTGGTGGTGACCAAGGAGCGACCACAATGCACGTGCCACAGGAAGTGAGGACTTCTGTCCCAGTGCTCACACCTCCATTACAAGACTGAGTCCTTTAATCCTCCCTTCCCTGCCTTTCGACAACCAGGTAAATTAAGGGAGTAGCTCACAAGACTACCAGATGTGTCAGTCCAGAGGTCATCAACAGGAAGATCTTGTGTTCAACTTCAAGCCTTCAGAAATAACTGAGTCCTTACAGGTTCAAGTAAAGAACACATATTGCGCGTTACCTCACCTTCGCAGTGACAGAGTGCAGAATTATATAGAACAGCTGCTCTGAATACCAACACTGACCATTTCAGCCTGTCTTTCTAGCCACAAACTTGCCCCCACTGTGACTGACATGAAACACACTCCCTTGCACACCTCAGTATCTTGCAAGAGCTCTTAATTCTCAGTAAAGAGAGGCATTAGCTGCGATCCCATCCAGCGCCAGTCTCTACACAGCGTATGACCTCTCCACCTTTGCAAGCACAAACATGGGACTTCAGTACATCAGCCTGTAATCCTACCTCAGCTGCTGCAGTGTAAGTTGTTGGAGCAAAACAACCTATTAAACTGCTAAACTGCTAAGGTATATCGTTGACTTGGACAGGACATATCGATGACTTCTTTCTGCTGTATCTACCACCAAAGAGGAACTGAAAACCACAATGCGGCTGTTCACCAGGGCAACCACGGTATCCTGCAGGGTTCCATTAAAAAGGTCTCTTATTTTTTCCCCCAAGGCATCAGAACAGCTCAATTTCACCCCAGACATTACGGTGAGACTTCAAGGCCTCAGTCTCACCTTTCCTCCACCAAAATCAGCCTTTAAGCTCAAACAAGGACACTGCCCATTCAACCTTCCTTTCTCACACCTCCGAGCTCAGCGCTGCTGGCAGGGCAGAGTTCAGCACTGCCTCTTCCCCGCTCTGACCCTCCCAGGGAAGCAGCGCACCGCGATGGGCTTTGCTGAAGTAATTAAGGACGGATGCGAACAGACTGCACAATGCAAAGCAAAAATTAAAAATCCCTGAATAAATAGGAAAAATTCTTTGTGTGGTTTGCAATCCTCGTTCCTAAGATTTTCCATCGGTGCCGGCCAATAGCCGGGCTCCTCTAACACGCTGACCGGCTGTTACAAAACCCTCGCGCGGGGAGGTCTGTAGCGAGTTCTCTTTTAACGTCACCTCGCCAGCTGCCGGTTCAATAGGGGCAGATAACACTCACAAAGCCGCCGCCGGCGGCTCTCCGACCGGCAGTTCCGGCAGATGGGAGTTTGCCATCTTTATCTATAAAGAACAAACACCTGCAGCCGCTGACATTAACGCGCCACGGCCGGCCGGCCCCGCGCGGCAGCATCAGGCGCAGCAAACAGCGCCGGTTCCCCGCCGGGCGGCACGGCCGGGCCCCTACACCGCGACGCGCGGCCCTAGCCACCGCCACCCGCGGCGACGACGGCGCTGCCCGCGGGGTCCGAGCGCCGCCAGGCCGCGGACCGGCCCCGCTCTGCCCCCGGAGGCGCCGCTCCGCACCAGGCCCGCACCGGCCCCCACTCACCGGCCGCGCCGCGCCGCTCCGCGCCGTTTAAATGTCCGTACGCCCGCCGTCTGCTTCCGGGTCGGAGCGGCTACGGGTCGCGTCAGGGTCCGCAAGGCCTCGCCGCGCGGAGCGTTCGACGGAGCACGACGAAGCTGCCGAAGGGGACGCTCCTGTGGCATACGTGCAGACGCAGAGCGCGCCGGCTCCAGCCACCCTCGGTTGGCCGAGGAAGCTGCCCAGAAGCGGAGGGCTTTTGCTGTGCGGGCCGAGAGCAGCAGGCAGAGATGCCTTCTGCAGGGCTGTCACATCTCTCTGTGAGCTGGGATGTCACCATCAAGGCAGCGGGCGCCGCGCAGCAGGGAGGCGAGCACCCCTCTGTGTTAGCACAGCTGATGGTCCTCCAGCCCCAGAGACAGAGGGAGGACGCTGTTCGCAGCCAGAGGTGGCACCGGGGGACGTGCCGTCACATGGGGTGCTCCTCTCTGTGTTTTCCTTCTCCCTCCCAGCTGCTGCCAGAGCAAAGCGACTGCCATGCACTCTGCTAGCAGCACAGCAGCGGTGCATCGCAGCAGTGCAGGGCTGCCCCACGCCATCCCTTCAGATGGGGCTGGGGGTCATGGGAGCCCACAGCCTCCCTTGCTGTGAAGCCATGTGATGCAGGCAGCTCCCTTCTGTGCCACTGAATCACGCTGTAGCTCCACTCCTTGTCACCCCTGTGGGGACAGAGCCAGGCTGGCAGTTTGGCCCGGCTCCCTGGCGCAACAGGTGGCACCACCAGCTGCCACAGCTTCACCACACCCTGCTCCTTCCATACGAGATGATGGACCATGGCGGGAAGAAGCAGGGGCATCTGCCTCCTCACACGGGATGTTCCCAAGTGTTCCCTTGGCAGAGAAAGGCCTCACTCCTCTCTCTCTGCTGCCCTTACAACTGTCAATCAGAGACAAAAGCTCACCTCCGCGGTGCCTCCCGGCCTTTCTCAAAGGGCAGATTTTTCCCCTGCGCTCTCATTCCCTGGGGTCCTGTAGCAGCAGGCCCAGCCCGGTGTCCCGGCTTGCTTTCCCACAGCACACCATTATCTCACCATCTTCCCCCGGGCACTCACTGGTGGCTGTACCAACGTGTTGCAGCACCTCAGCCAAGGAGCAAACTGTGTGGCTCATCACCTTACAAAGGCTTTGGCTCCTCTGCTGCTAGAGCAAAGGCCCACCCTGTGTTCATTTACATCAGTGTTACTCAGGGGTGACTGGCCATGGGGACAGGGCCGCCCTGGGGTGATGCATGGAGGAAACCCTGGGTGAGAGTCAAGCAGTCCTGCTTCCCAAATCCCACCTGGGCAAAGTGGGGCTGTGGGTTTGTGGTCTCTGAGCTCTTTTGGAAATATCTCAATAGCAGCAGCACCTGAAGAGTTTGGCCAGAGCCTCATCATTGCTTGGACTAGGTGATCTTAGAGGTCTTTTCCAGCCATAACGATTCTCTGATTCTATGATCATTTGCCATTGCTACAACGTGGGCACTATGCCTGAGGGCACAAGCTGGAGGGCTCAGGGAGAGGTAGACAGATGTGTAGCCAGAAATGAGCTAAAAGCCATCTCTCTCCTCAATAGATACTCATCTGCTCACTGTGTCACAACCATCATGGTCTTGCCCCACCTGTCTTTCAGCTTCTCCAGTCTTCTCCCAGCCTTCTGCTTGGGAAACGCATCACCAAAGATCAGGACCGATGGGTTTCCATCTCCTTCAGACAAAGCAGCACCTGCAGGAATGTCTCCAGCTCCCCCCAGGCCGGGGAGGGGTCTGCTGTGGCTGTTTGTCCAGGGATACCCAGACCCCAGAGGGCAAGAGCTGAGAAAGAGCTGAAGGGGACATCGAGGAAAGCCAGAGCCGTGTGTTGGGTGAAGCAGCGGGGTTGGGGTCTTCAAGCTTTGCCTCTTGGATGCCTTCCAATTCCATCCTCAGCACCCACCTCGCTTGCTGATGGCTGAACCCATTCCAGAAGCAAGATGAACCCTCCTAGGGATGCTCAGAGAAATAATGAGTGATAAATCCCAGGGTTCCGGTGTGCTGGGGTGTGGGCAGGACACGGCCCCATTCCCATCAGGCAGCAGCAGGGCACAGCGGCCGGGCACGTCCCAGCGAAGGCGAGCAGGGAACGGCAGCTCTACTGCCGGCTGGCAGACAGAGTGGTGAATGAGAGTGTAACTTATCAGTATTACCTCATGTGAAAGCCCTGAGCTTTTGTATCTCAAGCGAGCCCTGGCCATTATGTCCGTGCGAGCTTGCATTGTTGTTCTGCCTGGCTGCAGGAGACCGGGGCTGTGAAGCCCCGCACGTCCACAGCTCTGGACTGGCTCCTGCCCTCAGCCCCCCCATGGGAGACGTCCAGGCCCTGTGCCAAAATAAGGACAGAAAGCCCAAATTTGGCTCCAGTGAGACCACGGCCCCACGAGGAGCCACTACCAGGGTTTTGACCTCTGCAACCCTGAGAGCAGCAGGGACGCGGCTCTGCGCACCCCTCACGTCCACCTCAGCCCACGGTGCACCCATGGTTTTACCCCATGGGCCGATGCCAAATGGGATTTCCCAGCAGTTCCTTGGAAATCGTTGCAGAGCAGCTGGAGCTTCAGGGCTTCATCTGAGCCAGGAAGTGTCCAATCCACAACCAATGAGGACATGGCACTGGAGGTATTGGGTGGTACCAAGGGGACATTGGGAGCGGGCTGGGTGTCTGTCCCCACTGTGGTCTACAGATGGTCTCTGCATGAAGCTCAGTTCCCTGTGGCCTCGTTCCTACTCTCTGGGACCAGTGTGGTGGTGACAATCCAGTATCAGTCATTCCAAGCCACCATTCATTGGCCAAGAGCTCTTCTCAAAGCGATGCTCGGCACCAAAACCACCAGAATGGGGCTGATTTGGGGGCCTTATTGCAGGTGAAATATTCCCAGACCCTTCCCCACTTTTTTTCAGAGCAGGTCTGGGAAAGGGAAGACAAAGAATAACGTGGAATGTAGATTGGAAAATCCCAACAACCTGCTCCTACGTTCACTGCCGGCAGCTGGAGGCGATGCAATTCACATCCTCCACAGCTGACACATTAGGAGACTCATGGCGTATGCTCTCAGCACATTCTAATTGCCTAACTTGTAATTTTTTTTTATATATTAAACAGAAGTCTGAGAAGTTCCCACTCCAGCCCTGGAGCACAGCCATCCCCTTGGGAAAGAAACGCCCAGGAAGTCTGGAGGATGCTGGAGCATCCCAGGTACCTTGACATGGCAAATCCTACATGGTGTCGGGCTCTGCCTCCAACACCAGCAAAGAACCAGTATTCTCTGCCTGGGATTTTCCTTTGTCCCCACACGGTTGCTGCCCAGGGTGCTGGGGAGGAGACTGGAATGTTCCTTCAGATCCAGCAAAGGCAGTCAGTTTGTGTCCCCATCCCATTCATCAGAACCGATCCTCATCCCAATCCCACATGGGGACGAGAGGCTGTTGGACACGTGTGTGTCCTGGATCTAAGCCCTCTCTTAGACCCAAAGGAGACAGGGGAAATGTAAAACCACTTAGCGTTTCCTGTAATACCTCATTGAGCAGAACCATCCAAAATAAACACTGGGGATGTTCAAACAGGACGAGGGCTGCCATCAGCACTTCAGGCATGGAGAACCCGGGCCACAGTGGGAGAGGAGGTGCCCACTGCCCACAGGAGGAGTCCTGCGATGGGAATTCTCTCAGCACCCGGCCCCCTTGGGGTGGTGTTTCCCCCAAACGTGGCTGTGCAGCCTCCCCTGGGGCGTCGTGTGGAGCCAGACGGGTCGGCTGCACCTTGTGTCACCAGGGCTGTCTGTTCTGCTCTAGGGCCAGAGCCGAAATCTTGTAAAACAAGGTGAATTGATGAAACTTGCTGTTGTGTCACCTCAAAGCCCCCATAGAGGTCTCTTGGCAGACGCCAGCCTGCGGCTCGCTCCCAGGCAATGGGACTGCCAGAGGGCAATTGCCTGCGCTGTTGTGGACACAGATTTCTCATGCAAGGAGCACAGCATCGTCCTCATGCTGCAGCAGTACTTCCCTCCACTGGGAGCTGCTCCTTGGCCCATGGCAGCCACAGAAACCCAAATCGGGGCAGCGAGCCCCAGATCAGCACTGAGATGCAGGATGTTCCTGAAACCTGGCTCCCTAGTTCTGCTGAGATCCACAGGGTCTCACAGGACACAGGACCCCTAGGAATCACCAGCACGACCAGGCAGCACCTCTGCAGGAACAGCCGTGCTGTCACCACGCATGGTGACACGGTGACACATCCACCTGCACAGTGCCATCCCCTACGCTTTGTGGGAGAGATCATCCACCCATGTCCTGAGTTCTGCCAGATCTCAGCCACGGGGTGGTACAGCACATACCTCCAAGGGTTAAAGGCTTCCAAGCCCCTGTCCCACAAAGCAAAAAGGTTCCGTTGCTTTTAACCCCTTCTCCATCCCTTCTCCCCCCTACCCTCCCACCCGAGAGCTTTTCACTGCTGTGAAGCAGCACGGGTGGATGCGGTCTGGTTTTGGTTAAGGGCAGGGTGATTTGAATAACAGCACTAATTGGATTTTAAAAGCACAGCCCCCAAAACTGAGGCTGCAAGCGTTGGGACAAAGCAAACATGCTCACGAAAACCCAGCAGAGCACGGCAGTGAGATCCAGCTGTGCTGTGCCATGTGCAGGATGCTCTGGCACAGGGCTGCATGGGGCTGAGTTCTGAGCCCCAAAAAGCACAGAAGGGACCTCTGTGCCCCACGCCTGTGCGTGTGGTCACCTGGTATGCGGGGCCGGCTGCCTCCATTGCCTTTATCTGCCTGCATGCAGGCGAGTGCCCGAGTGCAACTTCGCTCTCCAAAAAGCCCAAGTTGTCTCCACCTGGCAGGCACAATGGAAAAACCACCGAGACCTTCTCTTTCCAGCTCCTGGCCGCATGGAGCTGAAGGGATGGTTCCCTGCGAGGCAGCTCGTGCCCAGCAGTGCGGCTGCAGGGGGGGGGAAACCACAGCCCCCCAAAGAGCCCTGATCCTGCTGGAGGCAGAGCAGAGCACCAGGGAGCCCCAGAGAATGGGGAAAGCACCAACCTGGGGAGAGCCTAGAGCTCTTCCCTGGTCCCACAGATAGGATTTGGGGGCACTGTATCACTAAGAGTATCCCTGTGCTTTGGGGTGCCAGGGACGGGGTCAGTGCTGTTCCAGTACCATGCATGGCAGCAGTAGTGGCACCACAAATCCTAAATCCTGCCCTCAGCTGCGTGCTCTGAGCTGCCACCAGCATCCAGGGCTCCATCACAGCCTCAGCAGCAGGTGGGAGCACTCACAGCCACGCTGCACCAGGACAGTCCCTGCAGGGGCCGGGTGACACTGACATGCTCTGCAGAAGAAGCCACCAGCAGCTGTGATATGCCCCAGGGTGAGGGCAGCATTCTGACCCCCAGTAGGAGGGCAGGGACAGGAAGCAGGACCAGGTCCCCGCTCTGAGCCACAGCATCCACCTGTGTGCCACCAACAGCTCCACTGCCACCTGTCCCCACGTGTCCCCATGTCACTGCTGTGCAGGGCAGTGTCCCCCTCTCCTGGCAAACAGGGGTCTGGGAGTTTCATTCTGATTTTTAAGCCTGGAGGGAGGGGGTAAAAAAAAAAAATTAAAAAAAAAAAAAAAGTGCTTTTTGCATTCATTTCTGCTTTTGGGACTCAATCCCCCTCCAGGATGCCCCCCATAGAGTGCAGCAGCCATCCAGTGCCCCTCCTGGGGTCAGCAGGGATGGGGGGGCAGCGGAGGGGCTATGGGGTGGGGAGATATAAGGCGACATCCACCCTGGGGGGGGGGGTTGGGAGAGCTCTGCCAAATGCCCCTCACTTTCCTCTTCGGCTCTGCAACTTCGTGAGTCCATTGCCTTGGGCTGATGTGTCATTTGTTCCTGCCAGGGGAGAGGGGACCCCCCCCCTTTAAATTCCTGCTATTGTGCAGTGGGAGGCCGGGCTGGACCTGGTTGTTTAGATGACATCACCGAGCAGGTTGGGTTATAAAATGAATGAAGCAGAAAGCCCAAGTTCAGTGGCTCGGCACTGCGCGGGCGGCAGGAGGGACCTCGCGGCTCCGCGCTGAACTTTGACTCCCTCCGTCCCGGCCTCTTCCCGGGGCTCCCCGCTGCCCCCCGGCCCCATTCCCGCTGCACCGCAGGATGCAGATCTCACCCGTGCTGGCCGGAGGACTGCTGCTCGCTCTGCTCTCCGTCGGGCTGGAGGCGAAGCCGGCGTCCCAGCTCCCGCAGAAGGTAAGGCTGCCTCTGCCCCGCTGCTGCGTCCCGAAAGAGTCCTTAGGGCGAGGGGGAGGCACCGCTCGGCCCTCCTTCCCATGGGGTTTTTTGGGTGGCAGGAGACCACCGACCCACGTGTCGGGGAGAACTGTGGTTGGAGGGGATGCTGCGTGCCCTCACCCTGCGGGACCGCAGCCAGCGGGGACACGGCTGTCTCCACGTCACCCTACGGTGCCGGAGTCAGACCCGGGTGTAGGTGTGAGGTCGGAGCCCGGGGGTGGGCACCCATGGTGTCCCTCGGGGATGGAGAAGGGATGTCCTGGAGGCCACCGACACCTGTGCCAGAGATGTGGCACACGGAGCCGGAGTGGGACACCGGGGGGATGGGTGGGGAGCATCAGCATGGGGAGCTGGGGGTGTGATGGAGAGAGAGGGGGTGAGCAGCAGCCCCGAACAGGACAGTGGGGGCAGTGAGGAGGAGGCAGAACTGGGAGTGCCCAGAGCGTGTTAACTAGTTGTGAGCAGCAGACCTGGGAAAGTGGGGGTCCCAGTTGTTCCCCACTTTGCAGAGTGGGGGGACAGCGGCATCAGCACAGAGTGGCAGTGACTCTGCAGCTGGGGAGCGGGACCATCCCAAATCTGAAGGGGCTGAGGGCTGGTGGAAGCGGGGGGGGGGGGCACGGCGACCCGTGTTTGGGGGCGCAGTCACCTCAATTTAGGGGTGCAGTGACCCCAGTTTGGGGGTGTTCCGATCCCAGTTTGGGGGTGCCCCGACCGCAGGCTGGGGGAGCTCCGCCCCAGCCCCACTCCGGGGCGCAGTGACCCAGCGGGGGCCGCGCGGGGATGGGGAGGCGGGGGATGCTCCGCCGCGGAGTGGGGACGCACGGAGCCCGGGACGCGCGGACCGGCCCGCAATGACCGCTCGTCTCTCCGCAGGCGTCCCGTGGAGCAGCGGCAGCGGCGGCGGCGGCGGCGGCGGGTCCGCCCGAGGCGGCGGGCGCGGAGCGGGACAAGGAGAAGGAGAAGGAGCGGAACCGCGGAGGAGGCGGCGGAGGCGGCGGCACGGGGCCGCGGGAGGCGCGGGAGGCGCGGGCAGAAACGCGGCCCCGGGCGGGTTGGGCGCGGCTGCTGCAGGAGCCGTCGGGCCGCCGCAATAAGGGGCTGCACAAGAAGGGGCTCGGGAAGGGCTGCTTCGGCCTCAAGCTGGACCGCATCGGCGCCATGAGCGGCCTCGGCTGCTGAGGGACCTCTGGCGGTGAGTGCGAGGCGCGGCGCGGCCCGAGGGCGGTGCTGGGCGCGGGGCGGTGCTGGGCGCGGGGCTGCGCCGGGGGAGCGCCGGGAGGGCAGCGCCCGTCCGCGTGCCCGTGAAGGGGGCGGGCGAGGGGCGCGTCCACCGCGCTGCCGGTGATTGCCATGAGGCTCAACTCGTCGAGGCCGGCCGTGCGCTGAGCCGCGGAGAGATCCGCTGAGCCCACCGGCCTGGGGAGAGACGGACGGGGCGGCGACGGGCACCGGGAACGAGGGCGGCTCCTCCGCGCCGTAGGGGTCCGAGGATGCCGCCGCTCTGCCCCGGTCCGGTCTCTGCCCCCGCCCGTAGCGCGGCCCGGACCCGGGCGCAGGGCTGTACGTCCCGTAGGTACCGGCGCCCGGCCCTCGGCATCGCCGGGGCATCGCCCTCTCTCGTTGGGTTCTGATGAGAACTTTCTCCCAACTCGCCCGGCTCGGTTCGGGGCGGTTTCTCAGCCCGCGTCCTTACCGGGTGCGAGGAACAGGAACTTTCGGCCTGGGTTGGGTGGAGGATTCCCCGAATCCCAACTCCGTTCGGATTCTGCTCCCGGATCTCCCCGTGCCCATAAAGCTTTAGCGCGGCGGGCAGCGGCGGGCAGGACGAGAAGGCTGCAAACCCCCGGCGGCCCCCCTCGTCCTTGCTGGACCCGGGACAAGCAGTCAGCCTCCCTCAGTCCATCCACCAGCACCCAACCCCGGCGAGCGCAGGGCGAGAGATTTCCCCTTGCCGTAGCACCGGCACAGCGCCCGAGCTCCGTACCCGCACCCCAACCCAGAACATCCCGTTGGGGACGCATCTCGGGCGGCAGCGGGGCGCTGCAGGGCGGGCGCTCACGGCTCTCCTTCGTTCCACGCAGAGCGCCGGAGCGGCTCCGTTGTTCCCCCAGGGCCGGGCACGGCCGCCCCCCAGGCACCGCCCGGAAGAGCAGAGACCTCCCCGGATCGGACAAAAGATGTGGCTGTGTTTTTCTTTTCGGTACGAGGAGTCATGGCACCAGCTGTTTTGGTTCTGTTATTTTTTTAAAAAGCGCTCTCTATCTTATATATATTATATATACAAACACTCACCGAGACAAGGGACAGTGCTTTTCTGAGAGACTGATGAAGCCGGCTGTATAACGTTGCTGTTTGTAAATTCATGTCATGCATAAATGTATTTATGTTGTAAAGCTATTTATATATTGTTTATAAAGAGATATTTATAAAAAAAAAAATTATTTATGTAACTAAATGAGAAGTCAAGCATTGTAACATTTTTTGTCCTAAGTAGTTCACAAAAAGGTTAAAAGAAAAAAAAAAAATCATTCGGTGCAGCATTTGGTAACATGTCTTTATTTATCAAACCCACGTACAATTGAAACGTCAGATTGATTGATTTTAACGGAGCGGAGAGAAGAAATGGTTTGGATGCTTTAGAAAAGGCAGGAGCCAGAGAAAGGCCATGATGGGGGAAGCTTTGATCCTGCCTGCACGGTGAACTCACGCTGCCATGCTCAGACTGAGCGGATTGTGCACGGTGCAACCATCTGAGCTCACTGCCAAAGGCCGTGGCAGCAGTGCCTGGCCCGGATGGGACAGCAGCAGTGTGACAGCAGCAGTGTGACAGCACGGCGCTGGGCTGCAGTCCCTGTTCCATGCCGTGCAGCTCTGGGTGCTGTACGGAGCTGCTGTCCCAGCTCTGGATGCGCTGCGCTGCAGAGCTGTGTGCTGGAGCTGCTCGCACTGCAGGACCCGGCCGTTTGCTCAGCTGTTGAGATTCCCTCTTGCTGCTAAGATGTAGAGTCCTCTCGTGCAGCAGCAATGTATTTAACCATACACCAAAATACAGTGAAGCTGCCTGGTAAGGATTCCTGGATACAGGTTCTTGCTATGTAAAGTGCACGAAATCAATTGTTAAAACATCTCTGAGCTCTGAAGGGCACAGCCAGCGAGGGGGTGAGCAGCACAGCAAGGAGGCAAACTCCCACATGAAGGCTTTTTGGTCTCATTCTTCAGAGGCCCAAGGAAAGAGCAGCAGGTGCCCAGCCCAGCTGCGACAGGAGGCACCCACTATGCCCTCCCCACTGCAGCGGGTGCTGCGAGCTGCTGTGCTCTGGCATGTAGGGCAAAGAGTCACAGAGACCTAAAGGCAAAGAGATCCTTCCCCTCAGCAACCACCAGGAAATCATAGAAACATCCAGTCATGCTCTCCCCAGCTATTAGGCAACGTGAGCTTACAGCAGGATTCATCCTGACCCCCCCCCCCCCCCCGACAGCTCAACCATCAGTTAGAAGTGTGCATGCAGCATTTCCAGCCTCATACAAAGCTCCCCGCTCAGAGGCTGGTATCCAGCTCACAGTGCACACAGCCCTGCAGCAGCAGCTCACGGACACGTAAGGCATTGCCTACAGGGAACAAAACGTGCATCCTGGGAGGGATGCAGGCAGCTCCATGCCCAGCCTCAGCTCAGCCCGGCAGAGATGTCCCCATGTGATGACAACCGGCCCTCAAGGCCCTGTAAGGCAAACTGTGTGCCCACGAGGCACATCCTACCAGCTCTGCACACCTTCACGGGACGGAAGGGGCTGTGCCAGGTGCTCCTGAAGGGATGCCCATCAGAGGGGACTGTGTCACCCAGCAAGCCTAAGGGATAGAGAGCAAGGAGTCACCTGTAACTCAGATCACACACAACAGGTCTAGCAGCAGTGTAAGGAGACAGTCCTGCTGGCTGCCTGCTGGCTCCTGGTCCTTCAGCACAATGCTAATAGCACCAGGCTGAGATGAAAGGGCCCAGAGCTAGGATGGAACCATCTGCCAGAGGCCTGAGAGCCTCTGTCCAACAGAGTGAACTGGCTCACCTCTCTCTGCAAATCCTGATGACCTGAGCAGAGCACAGTCTGAGCTAAGGCTGGGGACAACCCAGATATCACAGCCCAGGGCTGCCCACACTCTGGATTCACGTTTCTCCTCTGCAGAGTGCAGTTCGAAGGGAAACACACAGCCTCAGAGCACCGGTCCCTTCTCTCCCCTGGGCTCTCTGGGAAAGAATAAGCCCAAGGAGGAAGACAGAAGGATATTAGTTTGGCAGGAGCACAGCCAACAGCGAGAGCTCCCCATGCCAAGGGAGGGGATAACAGCTTGGCTCCCTGCTTTGCTGCTTCCTCTCTGACCACAGAGAAGTCGCCTTGTCCCTCAGCACAATGTCTTCCCACCTGCAGGACAGAACACTGTGCCCACGTGGGGATGCCAGCTGATGCAGAAGAAAGAAGGCAGCACTCGGGGCTGAAAGAGCACTTGGGAAAACCTTCAGGTCAACTCAGCACCACATGGCAGAGCCAGGAAGGAGGGTTGGCAGGGCAGAGCGGCGTGGTGAGCCAAGGTCAGCGTTCAGAGCACCGCCCTGGTTTGGCACACAGGCCAAAATGGGAAAGGGAAACGGCTCATTAGAGCATAGTGAGCATCTGATAAGGCCACAATTAGGTCCCCCTGACAGGGGCTCGGTAGGAAATGAGGCCAGGAGGAAAGAGGGGATGCAGGAATCCAATTAAGAGGGAAAAAGGCATCACGTGCAGCAGAAACAAATGGATCTGACTTTGCTGCCCCTCGTGTGGTCCAAACAGGTCAAATCCTCATGACATCCATCAAAAGGATCCACGGCCAGAACTGGAAAATCTCCTCACCACATCCCTGCACATGCACAGCATGATTGAACACCAAGAGCTGCCCTGGATGCAAGCTGCAGCCACAGGGGGGTGGCAGCCACTTCTTAAAAGTGAGCTCAGAGAATGGCATTTAGCAGAGGTGGACACGTGCCTGCATGCTTGGAAATGAGGGAGGCTGGAGTCCCAGGATCCTGTCCACACTGAGGGCACCTGGCAAACACAGCACACCTCCAGCTCCAGTAGCAGAACGAGTAGCAGCCCTGTTTGGCTTTCAGGTGGGAGCACTGCGATACAAAACAGAGGAACAGCCTTGATTTCTCCTTTTCAGGAAATACTCCTACCATAAGAGGAGCTGCAGACCCACAGCATGGAAAAGCACACGGCTGGCTGGTGGAAAAGGACAGGAGTTCTTTCTAGGGCTGTGTACAGGTGCCTTGCAAAGGCCAAAGAGCACAGGGCAGACATTAGAGAAGGACCTCCCAGAAATAAGGGCACAGTTGCCCTCCCACACGTGGCAAATCTGTTCTATTCTCCTAGGTCACAATGCACATTTCTTCCCTTACCACAGCTTTTCCAAGGTATTTATTGCTGGAGGGTCACAAAGCCCAGCTCAGGTGACAGCAAGTCCCAAGCCAATGATGAGAAAGAAAAGCCCAGAACCACAGAGCAGGGGAGCGGTGGAATTTTCCATCTGATGTGGGACTTGAGGCATTGAGTAGGGACTGCTGAGGGCTGCACACCCCCCCACCCCCCATTTGCTCTAGGGCTTCTCATAGTATGGGCTGCTTCCTTCAGAATGCAGAAAAACGAAGGGAAAGGATCACAGGGCAGCTTCCAGAGGGAGCCTGCACTTGACACAAGCATGAGTCGAAAACAAAAAGGGAATTGAATCCAGGCCCCTTTCCTGTCAGTCAGCAACTAACCTTGTCAGAAAGGATGGCAGTGCTAACTGAATCAGGCAATTCATTAGGTTGGGGCACACAGCAAAAGCCCACGCTCTCTGGAGCAGAACTACAGTGAAAATCCAGGGTAATGAGTTGCAAACTGCCTTTGTAAATGACATTTCTGCAGTGACTCTGGCAGGCTGGGAAAAGAGCTAATAGGAAAATCATTAGGTAGCATCCCTTTGATATTGTTGAAAACGGCACAGGCTATTTTTCCTGCCCCCTTCATAATTAACCTGGCATACTACCCATAATACTCCAGGCCAATATTCCCAAGGTGGAGCACCTTATTTGCATCAGGGAAAAGAAGGGTACAATGCACAAGTGGAAAACGACTTCTAGAAAAGCTTAAGAAGCTTTGAGGTCCGTCCCCCCCCCTTCCATACACATGCATTGTATCTTCTTCAATTAAATCAGCAATTAAGCTCTGCCCAGCCAGGAGACCAAAACACTTCACAAACTTCAGTCTCAAAGTCAGCACACACGAGAGAAGCTGTCCAGGGAAACTCAGCTGCTGAGGGGCTGATTTGCCCAGGGCTGCTTTCTGCTATAGCAGAGCTGGAATGGGACACAGCTTCACGCTTTGCCCCTTCTTCATAAACCTGTCCTGTGTCCTTGCTTTTCACTGTACTAAATCAGGCAACAGATTTCCCTTTCTTACATGCAAAACAGCTCAGAGGAGCGATGCCTACCCACCTGGCTCATCTGCCAGCAAGGAGAGGTGTCATCTCACAATGGTAAAATGAATAGCATCGCAGCTGGCAGCTGGTCCTGTAGGAACCAGTGCTCTCTAACAGCTGCGAAGGTGACAATGAAACACCAAGACGTTACTGACTGCATCAGCACAAGGCAGCATTAGGATTGTGCAGCATATGAGACACCAGGGCTGGTGAGATAAAAGGCATCTTCAGGAAGAGTCTGGAGAGTCAAACAGCACAACTTCCAGACTTCATACCCACGACGATACAGAGCTACGGTCAGAGCAGCACAAAAAGACCAATTGCTGATGGAGCAAGGCTTCACTGACCCACCACAACAGGCTCTTCTGAAAATGCAGGGGTGCCACGGGTGCATTTGCAAAAAGCCTGAATGATATTGAGATTCACAAGCTTCTGCAGGAGAGCTGGAGCTGTGGAAAGGTGCCTCGCCGTTCACTAAAACCAGATCAAGTGAGGACTACAGGCACAAAGTGACAAGAAAAAGCCACGGTCCCAGCTATCACACTCTCACAATCTGCAACCTGTAGCAAATACATCGGGGCACCTTGTGAGGTCTGCAGAAAGAAGAAGCCTGTGTATCTGGAGACTGTGAGCACGGTGCTGCTCTGCCAAGTCCTCTGCCTGATCCACTGTTTGGGAACAGGGCTGCCCCCACAGTGCCACTAAGAAGCAGGCTGCAGGCAATCAGCTAAGGGGGTCAACAGGCACTCTCCTTGTAGCACATCTCTCCCTGGCTTCAATCACTTACCTCTGTGGTAGGGCCAAACTTGAAGAAATATCAGCAAAATGTCAACAGTCCCTGAGAGACTTCGGCCATCGCCACAGCGCAGAGTGAAACAGGGACAGATTTCTAAAACCTCTGCTGAGAAATTCAATTGGACTGACAGGTTATAATTCCATAACAAACACGCGAGGTTGAGGTTACCAGTAGAAACTGAGATCACTCTCAACTTTAATTTACCTTTCACGATGCCCCTGGGTTACTCTCCTTCAGATTACACAAAAATAAACTTGACAGTTTCACTTTTTGGCTCCTGTGCATTAGGTCAGAAGCTACAGAGGACTTTGTGGGGAAAAAAAACAAACAAACAAAAACAACCAGAAAGCTCTGTGCGGGAGCAGACAAAGGCCTGACTGGCTGGGTCCATTCCCACACCTTGATGATAATAACAAGAAATGTTTCCCTCCATGACAAATCTGTTAACAGGCTCAGCACCAACAAACCTACAAGTGCACAAACTGCCTGTTTTATCCCAGCAGGAGGTGGGTTTTATTTTTTATTTTTACATCAGAGGTCTCTCTAAACAGCTTAGACAGCACTCAAAGACTGAGTGCAGGATGTGTCAGAACATAGGAAGGTCTGATAGCATTACCAATTTAACCTCCTGTTCTCAACAGAAAACTAAACTAGCATCCAACTCATCTAATGAGGTGGGAGGAAGGCAAAAGAACAATAAATGCTCAATTCAAACTTTGTTTTAAGGGAAGGGAAAAGAAAAAAAAAAAAAAAAGACTGCTATCAGCATTGCTTTATCATGTTCCAGAATTGCCTGATGTTAGCTGCTATCAACTGAGCCACAGCAGGAACAGCAGGGACATTTGTTAGCACGAGGCACAGCTTTAGGGCTAGGGCAGTGTACCAGCACTGCAATCAGCTGAGATCCTCTCTTCCATTTTCCAGCTCAGTGCTCAGTTCCATATTAAACAAGCACTAGTACAAGCAGAGCTGCAGAACATGAAACTAGACAATAAAGCCTTTAAGAGCAGCTCTGTCTACTTGTCTCTCGCCGGGTGGAGGAGGCAAACAGAAGTTCAATAGCTCAAACTCTGTCCTGCTGCAATCTTGAAGTGAGCTGCAGCTGGAGCAGCCCATGGCTGCCATAAAACAAAGTAGGTCAGGATGCTCTCCCCACATCAGGGAGTAACGTCCAGCAGCACCCACACTAGCTGTGTTAGCTGCCTGCAACAGGCACAAACAATGCACCAGGGACTGCATGAAAACCACCTCTACTTCCATCTGCCTCCTGTCCTCAGAGCACAGCTATTCTCTCCAGACACTCTCAACTCCAAACTGTCCACAGCTCAGACCCCATCTAATTCAGACCACTCTGCTCCAAGTTGCTGCCCTCCCTGCAGTCTCCATCTTCGTGTCGTCCTTCTCAAAAAGCCCAGCACCTCCTGCATCCGTCCCTGTTAACAACTGTGCCTTCTGCTTCATTCCTGGAATAGTTTCTAACTCTTTCCTTCGAGCCAGACTCATTAACCAGCTGCTGCGGAGCTGTCTGCCTCCCCCAGGTACTCTGTGCATGTCATTTGTTAATGACTCATCTCGGGCTGGGCTCACTGCAAAGACACCCCTCTTTTTTTGCTGCACCAAGTGCATCACTGGCACACCAGGATGAGCCAAACATGCAAACAGCTCAATTCTTCCCAGCGTCCCTCCCTTCTCCATCCTCTCACCATCGAGCACAGGACTGCTCTTTACTCAAAGTGCTATTTCCTCCCTTGCTTCTTTGCCAAACAAAGGCAATGCGTACTGAAGCACAGGTAGGACCCTTAGCCCAAGTAAGCTTTGAGAACAGCAAAAATATAAGAATGGACTCAAGAACTTCCACCACACTAAAGAATTTTCAGCAAACGAATGTGGCTCCAGTACCTGGCAGGGAACAAACATCAGGGATGCCAAATTCACATCTATTTCCCCTGCACCAAGGCTTGGGAGGAGCTAAACTGATTTCCAAAGACATTTGAATTCCCCTTGCATCTTTGCCGGACTGCCATTAGAAATGGGAGGGAAAGAAAACAGCTTCCTGAGGACCACACAACCTCTCACCAGCCAAACTTTGAGAGGAGCTGGATGACCAGCACACTGCAGCCACCCACACGGGAAGCCAGAAGCAGACTCAGCCCCTCTTCATCACACACATCTAAGAGACTTGGGTACACAAAGTCCACCTACACCTCCTGAAGCTGTCAGCTGAACACCAGGAGATGCAAGTACAGAAACCAGAACAGACACTGCAAGGGTTCCCTTGAGACACAAGTGAAGGCTTCATGCTTTGGGCTTACTCACTTAACATTTAACATCTTTCAATGGGAATTTTTTTGGCTAGTATTTTCAAGGGAGAGAGCCGACAATGAATCAGAAATCAAGGGACTCGACCCAGAGGCAGCTGGGTGGGAAGCATTTAGATTCACCTCTTAGACTGAAAGCTGGTGTGCCTGCACTGCAGGAGGAAAGAAAAAGAGAGAATTTCCTTTTGCAAACACACAGCAGGTCCTGGAGCCAAGGACTGAGGATGTGCAGATGGCAAAGAACTCCACAGCATTTAGTGGGAGGCACGTGCACTGCACAATGTAAATGCAGGACTGGAGTACTGTCACAGTCCTCTGCTAGAACAGCCCCCCTTCCTGCTCCTGGAAAACTTTTGTTCTTGTTTTTTTTACAACACTGACAGAAGTAAAACACTTCAGTTTGTGAGACCAAGAGAAAGGAACCCAACTGCCAAAGACAGAGCAAAGCTCCAAACCTCTCATTATCAGGCAGCAACGGTGTTTAGGCTCAGGGCTGTGGGCTCAATTACTGGCTTTGCCACAGATCCTTCCACACAAACTTGGATAAAGATGAAGTACTGACAAAACAGGAACAGTAATTCTCTGTTTCCCAGATGCGTCAGGGAGATTAGTCAGACCTTCTGATAACGTAACATCAGGAATCAAGTAAATGCTCACGTGGACAAGTGCTAAAGCAGTCTCAAAGCCAAGACTCTGAACTCTGACATTAAATCAGCATTTTTAATTTTTTTTCTAAAATGTGCTTTTTTGTGTGAATTGCTGTTTCACTGCCAACCCCATCCTCCCCCGTAAAAAAAAACCCCTCTCCTCACCAAATCAGGCGCAAACCACCTGAAGTTGGTCTGTAACAAATTAAAAAAAAACACAAATCAAAGGCTGAAATGCTTCAGAATCACAACAATGTACAAAAGAAGAAAAGAAAATACAACCTGAAAGTGTTCAAAATTCAGAAAGACTAGTCAAGTCCATTGGTTCAGCAAGGGGATACTGCTGTGACCCTTGCCAGTGGGTCCTGGGCCACCAGCCTGCCACAATGCTAAAGGGGCTCTTCTCCCACACAGACCACTGTCACTAGCACCCAAGGAAGAGCAAATGCATCACCCTCTGGAGGTATCTATGGGGAACAACTCACAAGCAGCTCTGAGAGGTGACATCACATTCCAAAGGAACGCTGTTTCTGCTGTGTCCATAACCATTTGTAAGAAGGAAGGCTTGGAAGAGCAGCCTGCTTCCTCCTTTCTGTATTGAAGACTCAGAGATGCAGACCAGTGCATTAAATCTGCGAGAGATTGAAGGGCTTAGTAAGGGCAGTAAACAGACAGTTAAGTAAACAGCCCAGCACTGAATCTCATCCTCACAGAGCGAGGTAGCGTGAATTTCACCCCAGTTCAAAACAGACAGGGGTAGAGGAAAGGCTGAAGACTTCCATGCAAAGCAGTTCCTGGCCTAGAAACCTTTCTGCACTCCCTCAGGGAATGAAAAGATCTGTGTTGATGGCTTCCTCGCTCCCAGCCTGGCTTTGGTAGCCACACTTCAACCCTGGGATTCACTCTTAGTATAGAAGTTCTCCCAAGATCTGATTTAGTACAGCAGCTTCCTAGAGGTTAAGCAGCAATGAAACTGGCTGAGAGGGAGCAAAACTGTCCACAGACTTTTTTACTGCCCCATTGTGCTAGTCCCTCTCTTCAAAAGTCCCTCTTTAAAGGACCAGAACAGAGACACCCTCATAACAAATAGGGGCTGCACAGTGTAACTTTGCCAGGTGCTGCATTCAAACAGGGCTTTTATTTGCCAGCCTGCAAGGGGCTGGCCCAGAACCCACTGGAAAAGAAGACACAGGCCCTTTTTTGCTCCTCCTGCTGTCATTCCTAGCTGAATGACACTTGGATGGTATGTTCTAGTGACGGCTGGAGACCAGCCCTTTAACTTTGGACATCTTCTTTGTGGGCTGCCTTTGTTCTGTGTGTGGAGGGCACTCTCGCTCTACCAGCTGCTGTTCCATCTCCTGTGCCGACGACGAGGCTGTAGCTTTTAAAGTTTTCTTTATGTTTGTGACCTGGCCAAGAAGAGACAGTGAGTCAGCACCTGCTTCCTTCTCTCTCTGCATTAGAAACTCTGTTCATAAACATGCTGAGAATCCCTTGGAGTACACGGACGGGGGGCTATCAAAAACTCACCCACCAGAAACAGACTCTGCATTTGAGATTTAAGGGGCAAAATGTTGTGCTCACTTAAAGCCAGCCTTCTTACAATCCATACTGGACTCAGACTGGAAACAACTAGAGATTACCTACTTCTTCTAAGAGACAAAAATACAATATTATTCCATCTTCCTGGTTGGCCAAAGAGATCTACTACTGCCTTGGTGCAGAAGTCAGCCATCTCACCATTACATTGGCTAGAAGCAGCAGGGACAAAGGAGTCAAAGAGAAACAAATGCATGCTTCCAACAGCACTCAAAAACAAAAACGACTTCATCTGTGTCTGGCTGAGCCATGGATATTTGCTAGAAGCAGGAACAGGAACTGGTCCATGGGAGCGAGGAGTAGTGCTCCACTACTCTGGCTGACAAGGAGAGACAAAGCACCAGGCACAGTACCTTGTCTCATGAAACTCACCTGTCATACAATCAGCAAACACTAAAAACAGAAAAGAAAAAAAAAAGAAGAAAAAAAAAAAAAAGAAAGCAAAACAAGTTTGGGAGTCAGGTGCACCAACTCCAGGCTAAAGGCATCTGGCAAACAAGCAGCACTATGGATGCCAATCAAGCCGCCAAGCATGAACTGCTTCAGAAGGCAAACGTAAACCTGCAGGGATGCAGCACTCTGCAAGAAATAAACCCTCAGCAAGTGTCTCGGGAGGACCATTTTCACCTTTACAGCTGTATTAGCCAACATTTGTTCTCACTACACATCAGCTGAGGCTGGCATCGTGGGCTCATACTGCCATCTATGGACTAAGAACAGATACAGCCTTCAGCAGGAGCGCGCCCAGCCCGCACTGCTCAGGAGCCTTTGTATGCAAAAGCAATGAGTCTCGAGGGATTTTTAGTTTTTGTTTGCTTCTTTTACCCAACATTCTCAGATTGAAGTGAGGTTTTGCTTCCTTACACAAAAGAAACAGAACTATATCCAAACTCTGTATCACAAGGGCTCTTTCCCCAACCAATCAGCCAAGGGAACTACAAGCACTGCACCCATCTGGCCCATTTTTATACAGAAAAGTTCCAACCCGCTTAGAGTGGGCAAATTTGATGTAGGTCTTTGTGGTGTTATTAGCACAAGGAAAAAGATTTCTATTTTTCCTACTCCAGAATCTGACTTGCACAATTGCTTGAGTACTTCAGAGGAGCTGCAGCCATTAACCAGGTGTTACCAGACTATCCAGTTGACAGTAGCATTCAATCAAAAAGCATTGAGCAGTCTGAAATACATCTGCACCCACCTCCATCTCTACCTGCTGCTGGGTTCGGTGATGGCTCTCTTTGTATTGGTTGGCTCTCAGTACTTGCTGCTCAATCCCTAAAAGAACTGCTTCACAACCGTCACACCTGCAAGACAGAAAAAATATCCATGAGTATTCAGGAGTGCTCTCTGGAGCAGCTCACTCGTGCAATCTGAAAAGTTATGCTCAAGTGAGATTATCAAAAGATTATTAAATTCATACTTCCTGCTATGAGACCAATTCCAAAAAAGCTGGCAAGAAAAAGCTTTATTGATTACTTGATGCATCTCACAGCATTTTTCAGCTAGTCTGTGTTACTCTTACCTGCCCATCACAAAGTGCAGGTTTATTGCACCATCAGTTGCCTTTTCAATCAGAATTATTGCTTAAAATACATTGTAAAACAATCTAATTTTAAAACTAAACACAGGAGTCAGATTGAGAGAACTCCCTCGTCCACCAGGTGTTCAAAAGTGTTCCTCCAACACAGAGCTCATAACTGGAGGACAGAAAAGAAACTGGCAATGGGTTCACTGTTAATTTCCAAACGATGCTGTAAGTTCCTGGAGGCTGCCAGAGCTCTCCTGATGAGATGGATTGGAGCACTTGGAGAAGAAAAGAAGGAAAAAGCCCTGCTCTACCACAGCAGTTTAATCACTTTCTGCACACCCATTACTGTAACAAACTGGGCAGCGATTCCCAGCCAGCTCAGAACCGGCCACAGCCTCCATTGGCTACAGGGAGATTTCCTTGGATGGGAATCTGACAGAAAGTGAGAAGCAGCTTCTCAGCACAGGTACACAAAGACAGCACCACAGCCCCAAACACTGTGGTTGCACGCAGCCTGCATTTGCAGGAGCAAAGAAAAGGCAAACATATAACACTTCAGACTTGGAGACATCTGCCCTAAGAGCTGTGATTCTCTGGAATTTCCCCATAAAGGTCTTATCACAAATGGCTGAAAACTAATAGTTTTGCTTTTGTTCTTGAGTGTAATAGCAGCACAGGGAGTGGTACAGACCCTAGGACAGTGACCACAGTTTGGCACAAACTGTTTGAAAAAGCTCTTGACTCCTCCCTAGGCTCTGTCACGTACAAGTTTTGGTGAGATCAGAATCTCAAGACCTAGCGTAGTTTGGCTTGATATGTAGCACAAATTGAAATATAGATGGGATCATGGAAAAAATCACTCAACAGACTCTTCCTTTAAGTGTCTGCTTGCAGTATAAGACTCCTGATTGGTGGAATAAGTTGAAATTAAGCCAGCACTTACAACTTCCAAGGAAGGGAAAAAAAATAGGGCAAACTATGCATAAGAAACAATCGAGTTGGAGAGACTGCCTCACCATTCCTGGAGCGTTTTGACAATGTTACTGATGTCCTTCTTCTGAATATCCCTGCCAATACAAAAATCCACCTCTAGCATCTGGTTTCGTTGATCCAGCTTCCCCTGGATAATATCTGTATAAACCGCTTCTATAATCAGATCTTCCAGCTCCCTCAGATTCCTCATATCCAGGTCCTTCAGCAACACGGAGTAGGGAATGCACTGAAACCAGCAAGTCCAAGAATAAGTTAACAGTCCTAACCAGAAGGAACAGAAATAGTGTTGGCAGAAGGTCAGGGCCCAAACATTTATGGCAACCTACACTTCAGTCTGAAAGTACAACAGGGACAAAACAAATGCCTGCTACTACGCTATTTAATATTCCAGCACGGCTTGGGCAGGTCGTGAAGTTTTGGCACAGTGCCTTCTGGAGGAGAAAGGTAAGGGGACTGGAGAAGAAATTAAGAGCGTGGATTAGTTTCCTCCAGAACAAAGAGGCTGTCCTTTTAAGGATGATTCCCTAGCTCCAGCAGTGAAAGAAGCCATACAAAGTTTCCCAGCCCTTACTAATCCAATGGTATGGCTGTTCTGACACTTCCACACCTCATCCCCAGAAGTCCATCAAGTTCATGTCCCAAATGCACCATGGGAACGTCACACATTACAGCTTCTTTCCAAGTTGCAGCACTTTTGTGAGCACTCAGTTTAATATAACCCTAATGCAAAGAACTGATTCAATTTCCAACAAACAAACAAAAGTCCGCTGTCATTCATAGTGTACTTTACCTTCATTCTAGAAGCCAGGCTTACTATTGTCAAGTGTTTCAGCTTGTTTTTCTGAGTTGCTGTTAATTCAGGCAGATTATCTTTGTTTGCTGTCAATGTTAAAAAAGATAAGATTCAGAGCTTTCCTACACAAACAACATAATCCAGGTTGCAGAACCACTGGCCAGTCACACTATGCTGAATGCTGAAAGGAAACTCTGGCTACTGTGGGTGCTGGTAAAGCAGAGAGCTGTGCCCAGAGATAAAGAGAGGAAAACTTTAAAATGCAAGTTCACAATTCCATTCTTCTCTGTTTTAGTTAATTCTGGTTTTGGAATTGGAATTCACACCTGCACAAGTAATGCCCTGACAAAACAGCTGGTATATGCTTGCTTTCCACAACCAAGTTAATTTTGTTTCATTAATGGGCTGACAAATTTAAGCCTCCTTTGCTGATCTGCTTGTAAAATGCAGTTGGTTTTCTCTCTGAAAGCTACAGAATTTCTAGTTGAGGGTATTAAGTATCTGACTGAGGACAGGAGGAGAAACTTTGAATCCACACACTTATACAGCCTCACTGTCACCATACTGTATCCATATGCCTTATGAATATTTAAAAGCAGAAAGGAAACTGCCAGCTTTCCAAATCAAACCTTTAAAATATCTGCTTTAATGAAAATCAGTGCTTTGGTGCACTCAAGTTCTCTCAGCCATCCCATCTCATTCAAAGATCCACATTTTGACCAATTCTCCCCTTTGCCCTCTCTCAAAAAGGAACTGCACTGCACTATCGTGGGCTGGGATGCAGGACCAGCACGTGGCAAACACATCCTCTGCTTGGTCACAGAATCCACGAGGCTCACATTGCCCTACAGCCATTGGAATTTCCAGCCCTTACATTTACTGATGCAACTTCTCCTCACCAGAACTGGATGCTCACCCACCGCAGTGACAGCCAGCACCAATGACAGAATTATTTGTCACAGTCTGTAATAGCCTGGATTGAGCTGCTACCCACAAATGAAGAATTAATTAGTACAAGAACTGAAGCACAGTTCCTAAAATCCTAACAGACAAAAGGATGTTTCACATGTACCCCTTCTGAAGACGTTGTAGGGTCATTATTACAATTTCTGTTCTAGCAAAGAAACGTTGCATTTTGTTTCAGCAATGCTGTCACAAGAAAAGGTTATAAAAACCTTTATGGTTTAAATGATAAATAATTTTCAGAACAATTTTTACAAAGTTTCTGCAACTTCCATAACCAGTGCCTTTCAAATTTGAAAACAGATGTCTGAAATTGTACTTTGCAGATGTAAATGCCCTATGAACATCAATGAATACTGCTACAGACCAGCTGGATCTAGTGTTGCAGTCCAAGCCAAATCAGTAAAATACCAGAGCCTCTCATCTGGTTACGGCCCTTCCACTTCTTTTCAGCACTTAAGAAGTGCTTATGACCCAGTTACCCCCTACAAAAACTCTCCCAAGCAAACTGTGTGCTTAGACACTTCAACCAAGCCACACTACACCAGCTACCACAAAAAGCAAAGAACTGCCTGTGACAATTCTAATGAGCAATGCAGCCTTGCAGTCTGCAAACAGGCAGCAGTCTCTTACCTACATAGTCTGGGTACGTCCCATATGCAAACAGGTTCAGCAACTGGAAATAAGCAGCATTAGACCCTTCAGCAAGCTGGATGGGAAGAAAAAAGAAATCCCATGGAACACAGTCAACATGAGACTGGCAGGCAACTTCTCAACATCTAAATAGATACAGACAAAAACAACGCCAGCTTCATACACAAACATCTCAGAAACAAGGCAAGTCACACCAGGCCTCTCCTGGCACAGAAATTTCACAAGGAAACTTCAGGGGAACCTTTACATTGGGAGTGCAGAGGGAGCATTAGGACACAAACTCATTTCTTACCTCTTGCACATTTGTTAACTCCAACAGCTCTCCAAAGACATAAACCCCAGGAGCCTCCAGCACTTGGTTTATCAGAGCAGTCAGAGCTGAGCCACTTGTACCTTTGGCTAGTAAAATAAACTGCTCTAGAAGATTGCAGGATGGTTTCTGTTCTCCAGCCATTCTAAGCTTTTCAATCTGTCAATAAAAAAAGATGGTATTAATTTATACACTCCCTCATTGCTAAATTCAGTCCAACCACATGTTAGAAGCAGTAAACTTTCAGCATGAGCTGAAACTGCTTCCCTCTGGCATTCAGAGGGACCCTGCAGGCTCAAATCCCGATTTATCTGGAAAGCAACAGATTTGCTTTCAGATAAAGAAACAGATCTGAGCAAAATTTCTGCAGGCTGGTCAGCTCCCTCAAGAATCCACTCCTGTTAGTAGGTAAGGAGTTTACATTTCATGCTCTTTTCAGATTTTTCCACCTACTGATGCTGTCAAATAAAAGACAACTGCAGAGGTGTTATCACATGTTATCAGGCATGACATCCATGACATCACTATGCCTACCACAGGGCAGCTAAGACTTCCTCTTTCCCAAAACTCATTGCACAGCTGCAAAACAGCAGCTGGCCAAATTCACTTGGAAGAATTCAGCCACCTTGAGGCCTGCATAATGCACTTTTGACATCACCACAGACAAAGCATGAGTACATAACACCCACAGCTTTCTTAAGCCTGAAAAGAGAAAAGAACTGTGGCCTGTACACAGCCTCCATTATACAGTGAAAGTGTTTTGAGGAAACGGTAAAGCTTCAGTGACAGAAACACCCTTTCTACAAAGGCTCTATTTTAGTCCCTGCAAAGAGAGATCTTTGTCTTTCACTGCTGCCTGACATCTCCTGTGTGCATGCTGTCTCTCAGCATTAGCACGTTGCTTTTATAAAGCACTATTTGTAAACTATGTGAAACAAAAAGACATTTTTACAAACACTAAGAAAAGAAACTTCTAAAGCATATTACTCAGACACCAAAGAACTTAGTGGGGGGAGGGGTGTTCTTCATGTTATACTGATGTAAGATGACACTCAGGTACAGGAGGAAACCCTCGCTCTGGTGAAGAAATCAGATACTGGAGAACCAGTATGTTGGGGCTGAGCCCTGGCACACAGCCGCCTCAGACAGGGTGCAGGGTGACACGGGTGTCTGCTCTGCAGGCAGTGCAGCTTCATTCATCACTCAGCCTCTGAAAACACACTTAGCTCCATTTCATTCTTAGAACCGTTTGAGTTGGAAGGGTTCCTTAAAGGCCATCTGGTCAAACCCTCTGCACTGAAAGGAACACTTACAGCTCCATCAGGTGCTCAGAGCCCTGTCCAGGCAGACCTTGGGTGTCTCCAAGGACGGGGCACCACCACCTTTGTGCAATCTGTGCCAGCGCCTCACTATCTGAACCTCCCCTTTTAGTTTGAAAATGTTTCCCCTGTCCTATCACAACAGGCGCTGCTGAAGAGTCTGTCCCCTCCCTTCCTACAGCCCTCCTTTGGGTACCCAGAACCCCTCTCCCAACTCTTCCCACTGCCTTCCCTCCTCCACGCCGCCCAAGCTCTCAGTTTGTCCTCACAGTGGAGGAGGTGTTTCATCCCTTGGATCATTTCTGCACTCCCAACCTAAGAAACGCCTGCAACACAGCCCCACTCCATCTGCCTCCCCACCCCCGAGTGCCCCCACTCCCCCGGGTGCGGGGCAGGCACAGGGGCAGCCACTTCCCCCAGCCCGGAGCCACGCTGGGAGCAGAAGGCAGAGCTCTTGGCTCCCTCGCCTCCGTCCCCGGTAACCAACACAGGATTACAAAAGAGACGTGGGATACGGAGAAATGAATGCCAATTCTTCGCCTCTCTCTCAGAGCTCACGTTCCAGCGCTACCGCAGCCACACGGAGCCGTGCCTCCGGGACTCCGCCGGGCTCCAGGCTGAGAGCACCGTGCATCACCCCGCTCCGCACCGCTTCCCGCTCCGGCCTTCCCAGGCGCACGCCGCGCCCTCCCGCAGCAGCCCAGGCACCCACCAGCCCCGCTCCGCCTAGAGCCGGAGGAAGCGGGGCAGAGCTCCGCGGGCCTACCGACCGGGAGGGCGACTCCCCGGCTCGCTCTCCCGGCCTCGCCTTACCTCGCCCCGCGGCCTCTCCGCCCGCCTCCCGCCCCGCGGCTCCCGGCGCCGTGCCCGCCGCGCCTCAGGCCGCCATGATGGCGGCGCGGGGTCCGCGCGCGGCTCCTTCCCCCGGCACGCAGCGCCGCGCTCCGAGCGTTCCGCGTTCCGGCCCCGGCCGGGGGTCGCCGGCACGACGCCCAAGCAGCGCGCTGTGCCCGCAGCGCGGCCTCCCGAGCCGGGTGTGGCGGCGGGGCTCAGACGCGGCGTGCCCTCTTCAGCCAGGTTTGCCCCTTCCCGATTCGTCCCCTCCTGCTCCTAGGGCACAGCTCATCCCGGCCCCCCCACCCCCCTGCTCTGGTCTCCGAATTGCCCGGTCCTCACGCCCACGTGGACAAAGCCACAAGCGCACAGCGCCTGCCCTGCCCAGCCCTCATCCCTGCCCGCAGCAGAGGCCGTTCTGCAATCGATGTACCAACATCCACCTGCAGACCGTGATTAGCACACCCCGCCTGATGCCTCCTCGTTTGTTTGGCTGGGGTGATGCTGGCAGTGCTCGTGGCATCCCCAGGAGCGCGGGACGCCAGGCTATCCCGGGGCTGGGCCGGGTCTCCCCGAGCCATCACACCAGCGGCCCTCAGAGCAAACGCTCGCTCTCAGGCTGCACCACTTCCTGAAAACCAGTTTAATTACAAGCAAAGTGTCTGACTGTCTCAAGGGCACAGCAGGTGTTGGGGATATGACGCGCCGGGGCACCGTCTGGGTTTTTTTTGCATTCCGCAATGACCTGTGCGAAGGGCCTCCATTTCAAAGCTACATTTTAGTGTGTTCTTTGTTCTGAGGGCATGACAGAGTTGGGTCTATTTTACACTTACAGGTTCCATTCATCTTTTGAATCTGTGCATATGCTACAGCCTTCAGAGTGGATTAAATCTTCCATTTTATGGCAAGAACCAGACAATGCCTGAGGAGCCGCAATGGGGCTGTTAATGGCAATAAACAATTGAGCAGTTGTGCTGGGCAGCACAATGGAGGCTGCCAGCTGAGCCATTGACCAACCAGCCCGCCAGTTCTCCTGGGGTGCAAATGGAACCTTGCCAAGAGATGGGGTGAAGGATCACAAGGTGCTAGAAGTGGGTTTTGGATCTTGAGGCGAGCGGTTGGTGTGTACAGGTGACAAACAAAAAGACTGAGCTCAGCCTGCAATGTGGGGAATCAGGGGGGCAGCTGGAGGAGCAAGGACCTCTCCAGGAGACAGACTAAGACCCAAAAGATTCCACAGAACCAGGAGAAGAGCAGAGGTAGAAGCAGAAGGGCTGTGGGAGCTGTTTCCCTTCCTGAAAGCTGCACACTTGTCTATGCTGTGCGGCGAATAAAGCATGCTTCTGTTTAAAATTCCTTACCAAACAGCAAAGTGCTTCTGGCTTTAAGTCAGCCAGTCCCTGAAGATCAAACCATGGACCTGCACAGCCAGGAGCGAGGAGCTTTCGGGGAATGAACATCAGAAACTATTAGGGAAACTGACAGGGCTTAGCCTGTGCTTCAGAGCCATCCACAGCTGATCCCCAGAGTCCCATCTTCCAGAGAAGGGCAGTCAGGAGAGCACAGAGATGCAGCTGTTGGGATGCTTTGAAGCTCTGAGTGTCACAACAGCAAATTGGATGTAAAAAAACTAGGCCCAGCACAGCAAGGGAACTCAGCCAGGGCTATAACAAGCCATTCAGTAATTTGCTTAAGCCACACTTAGATCTCATCTGCACAGGCAAGGAGAATTAACTCTTTAATCACATCCTAAACAGGCCCTCCACCATGGCTCACACTACCCCACAGGTATACTGACACAGCTGCCCTGGGAGAAAAGCACATCGCCTCATTTACCTCAAGAGCTGTTAAAACTGAAATCCAGGGCCGAAACAAAAACGGAAATACATGGCTGTGAGCTATTTCCCATGGATCGTTTTTGCAACCTCTTGTTGGAGCCTGCAGAGAAAAAACTGCCAGCTGATAACAAGCCCTGCTGCATTAGCTCCTTTCAGGTCACCCAGGAGGGTCTTTCTGTCAGGCTGTCCTGACATCCCCTTGACTGCTGCCCACCAGCACACCTGTCTGAAGCAGACTTTGGAGGATAGCATCAGTTAAGTTTTTGGGATGGATTTTTTTTTTTTTTTTTTAAATAGAAAAATACAGGCATGCACAGCTGTCTCGTCCCCTTTTAAACTGCTACTGCAACCTCTTGCTCCACCCACACAGCTTTCCACACTCAGGGAGATGGTTAATCCATTTTATCTTTTAATGTTGGCATTATCTCTTGACTCACGCCATCTCTTCCCCTTGTGATCCTGCAATCTAGGTCCCTTTAAGGCAGCAGATAATTTCACCTTTCTTCCCCATGTTGCCTGAGAAAAGAAACCACAAATTCAAAGGAACCTCTCCAAGCAGCGGAGTCATAAAGCCCCAGAAAGAGACTTGAAGTATATTGTTTCTCTCAGCTGGGAAATAAGGCATGAGGCTGCAAAGTCACCTGTAAGTGACTGAGATAGGGAAGGCTGTGATTACAGCTCACTGCCATCCCCCTGTCCCACAGATTCTGTCATACCAATCTCAGTGTCTGGAGCTTCAGGCTCCTGAGTTCCAGCTTCTGGCTGCTCACCCTGCCCATGTCTGCACTCTGCTGCCAGCACCAGCTTCATCCCTTGCTAGTGTTCACCTCCCTGCACCATAGCACGTGATTCTAGAGCTGTTTTTCATCCCCTGAAATCCCAGTTCTGATGCGTCATCGGCAAGAAAGTTCTCTCCTGGTGTCACCAAGGAGAGGGCAACTGATGAAAGCAGGTACTTTTGTGTTTCTTCTCTTTTTCCTCAACTTCCATAAATACAGTGGTTTAAATAAAAAAAACTCTTGTGAAGAAAAATACTTAGGACAACATGGGAGCTTACCAATAATCCACAAAATACACATTATATTAAGAAACTATGCACTAGGCTAGGTTTAGCTAGGATTAGGATCCAATCTCTAAAGCATCTATTAATTTAATTGCCAACCAACTTAAAGCAAAACAAAATCAACTGCTGGCACCACAGCTATGTTAAAAGCAGGCGCACCTGTGCCTGACCCAACTGACAGTAGGTCTATGGGTAAGCTGGGCTGTGTAAATGTTAACACCATCCTGGATGTGGCTTCATTCCTCATCCGCACATGCTTCCACCACACTTCACTCATTTATTTTCTCCCTCCTTTCAGGCTTTCAACACCAGAGCTGCTAATGCACATCTCTAGAGCACAAGGTGCTGGGGACACCCAAGAGTTGCTAAAGAAGCTGTCAAACTCTCTACATTTCCCAGGATCCAGAGACTAATCATCTCTCACCTTGAGTAAGCCACAAGAAATGTGGACATCTGGATAGTGTCAGCTGGGAGAAGGCCCCAGCTTATGAACCCATCTCCCTGAAACACCAGCTCTTGTATCAGTACCTTTGGAGAACAGCATTGCACATCTGCCTCCCCAGAGCACAAAGTAAGCTGGAGGCATCTCCTCACCTGCAATGACACCTCAGAGACTGTGATGCCTGCTAGATCTGCATGCTCCAGACGTGTAAGAGCAAAAGTGAGCTTTTTAGAACAAAGTGGTGCAAGGGAATAGTGAGACTTGCAAGAAAAAGTATTTTGAGAGGAAAGAACTCAGGGTTTCCATCACTCTGGACAGGAAAAGGTTCTTTAGTTAGAGGTTGGCTAGGTGGTGGCACGGGTTGCTGGAGTTCAGAAAGTGCCTGCACAGTGCTGTCAAACACACTATCTGAGTTCCAAGTGGTTCTGTGTGGAACTTCCAACCAGGAGTTGGGTTCAACGATTCCTATGGGTCCCTTCCAATGTAGGATATTCTGTGATTCGGAACTCAGACCACGTGTTTGACAGCACCGTGCAGACACTTTCTGAACTCCAGCAACCTGTGCCACCACCCAGCCAACCTCTAACTGAAGAACCTTTTCCTGATACCCGACCTGAACCTCTTGAGTTAAGCTGTCTCAGGTACCAGTGCCCGGTGCATTCCCCAGACTGCACACCTCTTCCCTAATTTTGGGGGGAGGGGGGGGTCAAAACTGAGAGACGCAGAGGCTGCCAAGCACGTACCTCCTCACACAGCGTGGAGAGCTTGGGAACCCGCGTCAAAACCACAAAGGCCCCAACACCGACATCTGGAAGCACCGCCAGCCGCGTGCCGGGAGCTCTCCTCTGCCGCAGGGGTTGCTCGCTGCCAGAGCCGCTTCTCTCCGGCTGCCGCCTCCCAGGAGCCCCAAGAGGGGCGGGACGGAGCCCCCCGCGCTGCGGGCAGAGCAGCACGCTGCGCTGCTGCCCCACACGCTCTTCCCTCGCACACGACCGCTCGCTTTGGCCTCCTCCACATCTGCTGCCGCCCGCGCTCTCCCTGCCTCCCTGCCAGCTTTTCTTCGGGAGCGCTCGCTGCCCTTCCCTGGACGCATTGGGAAGCGGCGCGCTGTCCAAAATGCAGCGAGGCCGTTCCATGTTAAGCTATGGGGCACCGGTGCCCCCGCCGCCGGCGTTAAGGTCACTCGTAATGAAACGCCGTCGCGCGTTCGACGCGGCCTCGGCCGCCGCCCAGTGCTCCTCAGCGGGGCTGCGCCACGGCGCCGTACTGAGGAGCTCCGAGGCAGCCTGCGCCGCGCTTCGGTCTTCCTCCCGCACGCGGACCGTTAGAAGAGAGGCGCAATACGTTAACGTATTAACGAACGGCCCAGCTCCGGGCACGCGCCGATCGGCCAAGGTTTGGCCTGGGCCGATTCCCGTCCCCGCCGACGTCAGCCGCGGCCGGGCCGAGCGTCTTAAAGAGCGCTGCGCAGCCGCCCTCGAATAAACGGAGAAGGGACGCGCCGTCCGATTGGTCCGTTCCGCCGTCCTTCTTCAGCTGGCAGGGGCGTCGGCGGCTCTCGATTGGCCGTCCCGTCGGGGCGGGGAGAGCGGCCGGCGGGATTGGCTGCGGCGGCCGGTGGCGGGTGCGAGGGAGTGAGAGAGGGAGGGGCGGGGGGTCCTGAGGCGCCGCCGTCAGCGCCGCTCCCGCCCAGGCCCGCGCAGCCAGGCGAGCCCGGCGAGCCCGGCGCAGCGCCCTCCGCCCGCGGCGCGGCGCGGCAGGACCATGTCGGCCACGGACGAGCGGGCCAAGGAGATCCTCCGGGGCTTCAAGCTGTATCCGCCCGACGGGGGCCCGAGGGGGAGGCGGGCGGGCGAGCGAACGGGCCGCGGGAGGGGCCGGGGGATGGGGGGGGGGGAGAGAGAGAGGGGGTTGGGTACCGCGGTTTCCCGGTGTGAGGGCGGTTGTCATGGCAACGCTCTCCCCCAGCCGGGGCTGTTCCTAGCGCGTCCTCTCACCCGCCGCGGGTTGCGGGCTCTGTCCCTAAGGACGCGGTGCGGCTCCGTGCGGGCACTGCGGGCTCCTTCAGCGGCAGCTCTGCCGCGCTCCAGTTCTTAATGCCTCTCTGCGGTTCGCGGTAAAAGTTTTCGCCTTGTCGCTCTGCGTGCTGGCCGAGCACGAGTTTAATGCCGGCGCGGTGAGGCAGACGCGGGCTCGGGACGTCCCTGCGTGCGGCCTAACAGCCCTGGGGACGGGAACGGCTCAGCGTGAGGCCCGCGTGTTGTAAGGGTGGGAGACACGCACAGCTCCTGAATTCAGCATAGCAGATCCTTCTCCGCGGAGCGGGCAGGTGCCAGGTTGGCCTTAAAACACGAGAAAAACAGCGGTTGTATCTTATTTCCCATAATGGGAAGGATGGGACCAAAGCGAATACTCTCTTGCTCCAGTGCTGTTGTTCCTGAGCGCGTTTTTGGCTGGCGAGGTGCTGATAATCTCCGTGCCAGCTGTAGCAGAATCTGAGTTACTCGGTTGGATTCGGCTGCTATCAAACTATTGGCAGATGCTTTTCTGAACTTATGAATCACTGTCCCCTCCCCCCAGCTTTTAGTTCTGGTGCATCTGGTTCCTTTGCTTCTGCACTAGTAATATTGACAGTTCTTTTTGTTTATGGAGATGTAAGATTTCGGCTGTCAAAATATGATTTAAGAACGTTTTGTGCGAGTAATTAGGAAAAGCATAAGCTTCTGACGAGATGAGACTGAGCTTCTGGTAGAGATGAGAAGCGTTGGGTGAATTAAGCCTAAAGTACAAACTTTCACATGTTTGTTTTTACTTGTTTGTGCGTGTTCTTTGCCAGAAGCAGAATTTGACTGAAGGTCTGTGTCCAGCTATGGATGAAAAATCGCTTTTGTTGTTTGGTAACTTCAGCAGAAAATGCTTTTTTGACCTTTGGGAGAAAGATGATAAAAGTAAACCCAGTAGCTCAAGAATTGGAGAATCTGGAAAGTATTTCTCTCCATATTTCATAGGTGGAACTTCTTAAGTTGAAATAGTTGAATAACATGGAAGTATGACTCTAGCATAACAGGAAAATGGCAGAACAGGCATTCCTCATTTATGAGAGAAAGCCCTGAGACACTGCGCCATCTACACAGGAAGCAGCTCATGCCCAGATGTGGCCTCATTCTCTGTAAGGCAGCCACCAGCTCAGCCCTCCTTTTTTGAGGGTGTGTATTCTAGAATGGTACATTTTACAGAGGTGCTTTACTTCTGCCCCCTGTACTACTGTATGTGCTAACTTAGTGCCATTAGTAAAAAAGGAAGAGAGAAACAGCCTCAGAGAAGCTGTTAGGTTTGTATTTGGAGTACTTGAAAACTTTCTGCTCTGCCCAGGAGGGAAGGAGTTCATCCCCCTCAACTTAAGCACACCCTGCAAACTTGCTTTGAGCGCCACAAGCCATCACAGTAGTACTTCAGATATAAGTAATTCTTCTTGTGACAAGATAGGTTTACATGGTAGAGGGCATCACTGAGGGATCAATTTTCCAGAATACTCACTTTAATACAAGTAATACAAGAACAGGCGATGTGGAAATGGAGTTCACATTGAGTAACGAAGCACCCTCAACCAAAAGTCTGTTCATTTGTGGCTCCTGAGAAGAGACTAACTACAGGCTTTCAAGCTGATTGGGACATGCTGCTGTGCACATTAAATTACAGCCTGAATCCACCCTCTGACTTAACACCAAGATATGCTTCCCTTCCTTTATGACAGCAGCACAGAAACATGCTGTGGCTAGCATCAAATTCAGACCAGAATATTTTACTCCCTCTTCCCATAGATTTTGTTACTTAAGATGAAAACCAAAAGGAGAAATATTTGATATTAGCAGGCAAAGAGAATACCCATTTTATTACACTAGGGTTTTTTTTTGTGGCACCAGTTAACTAAATACCAACAGCACAGTGTGTTACAATGAAAGATGGAAAGCAATCATCAAGAACTTCTATAGCTTGTCACTTTTTGAGAGACAGTTCTTGTTATCAGACTTTACAGGTTCATTCATTAACTCATGGTTCTAAGGGCGCTGCTTAAAATACAGCATTTTGGTGGTCTAGCACTCTGAGAATACATTCTGTTTGTTTGGCCATAAGTAATACCAGTTCAGTTAGTGAATATGCCAGAGGAAGGCATCTGTAATTACTGAGCTTCATTTCCACAAATATTTGTGCACGGCTGGTCCTGTCATCTCAAGTGCATTCAGTCTGACTGCTCTGTGCTCTGCCACTCCCTCCCCAGCTTCCCCCTGCACTGGGGCAGTTTCTCTGTCAAACTGCAGAGCATTGTTTTACTTGATCTCAGACCAGCAAGGAGGAAGGAGCTCAGGAAAGCCAGTTGACTCTTGTAGCATGGTTAAGGTACTAAGTAAGCATATCCATTTTCTATTTTAAAACTTACAATCCAGACAAGATATCACCTCTGGTATTTGCTGCTTCGCAGAAGAGCCTCATCAGAATGTTAACCTTCTGTAATTGCCACCTAGACACTTAGCAATTTAGGGTAACTTTCCTCCGTGAACTTCCATTAAAGGCCATGCAGTACCTTGCTGCACTTCAGAAGGCTCCTGAAACAAATAGATAGAGTAAACAAAGCATGAGGAGAGCATTAATTGTAGGTCAGAATAATTAGGGACTCATGAAACTAGTGCTTGTGGTCAGTGTAAGCACATACCAGAGCTCAGGCACTCAGACTTTTGTAGGCAAAACACTTTGGAGACTGTCCTGCTCCCTGAAATCTCTGAGGTTTCCTTTGCAAGGTCTTCCAGTTTCCCAGAGCTTCTTCCAGTTCTCATCTTTATTTTTCCATCTAGGAAATCAATTATTTTTCAAGGGCATTAATATCTTGGGAGGATGGATGCAACTGCAGTAATTGTATTAGTTATAATTACATCCTTATGAACAATCAACCTTGTTTTTAATCTGCAGAAAATGGGATTCATCTCCAACCTCTGCCTTGTTCCTGCCATGCACACAAGAACTGTGATAAATCACAATTTTGCCTTGTTTCCTACTTTCCTAAAATAGGAAAGTGACTGGTTTGTTGCAGCACTCACAGACAAATCCAAACAGAAGTTCCATCAGACTGGGTTTCCAGTTTATTCTTGTCAGGTCAGTCAATCTTTACCTGACTATTCTCTTATTTATTGCAGTATTGACAGGAATGACAAGGTGGCAGCTTCAGCTGGCTTTAGAAGTCTCCTCTGTGTTTTCCCTCTGTGTGCTCCCTCAGATTTTGGCTTGTTTGGATTTCCTGCAGCTGACAAGGAAGACGAATCACTGAACTGGTTAGAAGGAGACGCTGCCCTCCTAGGAGGAAACAGGGCAGCGCAGAAGCTAGTAGTAGTGGAAGTGTACTCTGTAGAGATCCAGAAGCAAAACTCGCATCTAGCTGATTTTAAAGTTGCATTGGTGCAAGCTGGGAGACATAAATTGGAGCTCCCCACTCAAGTCCATTGGTTTTTTGTTTTTTGGGTTTTTTTTTTTTTTTTTTTTTTTTTTTTAAAGAGGAAAAGTTCTTCCCATTGAAGACATAGACTTCATTTACGTAACCTGAGGATTTGATCTGGTACCACTTTCCTGGGTGCTCCTCAAGAAAGGGCTGAGCACAAGCTGCAGCACAAGTTCACACCCTGACGGAGTTGGTAGGTCTTTGTTTCGGAGATGCCAGCTTCACCTAAAAGCTTTAACCAGGTTATACGTGGTATTTAAGTGTCATTGTGGTTGAGGTATCTTTGTCTCATCAGTACCTTATCAGAACTGTCTTCAGCATCAACAGATATTCCGCTCTGATGATCTCTAGTTACAGCAGGCTGAAGACAGGACAGGTTCTCCAAGCTTATCACACGCAGTTCATGAGGCACATCTGCAACCACCACCAGAGCAGTTTTACCAGGTTTGGTTATACCTGCCTCTTCCTCAACACACAACACTTCACAACATCCAAAAAACCTCATCACAGCACTCCCCCAGTTCTCTTTCATTGGAGAAATAGTCGTGCTTTTAAGAGCGTTGCTGTTCTTCCCATAGACAGTTTGAATGAGCTCTAACCAGTTTTCTGTATTTTAGAGTTAGTGCAGCTTTCCTGTAGCGTTGGAAGCAGTGTTGTGCTCTAGGCAGAAGGAGTGAGGTCATCAAGAGCTCTTCTATTACAATAACAAATTAGTTGCCACGTGCTACAGCATTATGTCTTAACTAACACTTGTTCAAAAGCATGGAAGCTAATTCAGCTTTCTTACACATCATCTCAGAGTTGAAGTGGATCTGGAAAGAATGTCAAGAGTGAAAATTTTACATGAAGTTAGTAAGACTGCAGGCCACTGCACTCTGACTTTACAAGCTCTATAACCCTTTTGTATTTCCCCAGCTCTAAAGTGGGAAATTAAGGCAGCTTCAAATTTAAGTTCAGACCCTCAGTTAAAGAGCAAACCAATGCTCTGTTTCCATCTAGTCAGTCAAACACTATACAGAAGGGTGAGACACATTGCTGGCTCCCACATACAGGTAACAAGCACAGAACTCCATTAGTTCAGTTCCAAGTATGAGATTTTTTTCTTCCTGTATATGATCAAAAAACCAGTTCTGTAAATGGATGAGACATAGCCTTTTTTTGCTGCTCACACACCTTAAGGAATAGCTCGTGTATGGACACATTTGATGCAAACAGTATAATCCTGTTTTTCTTTTTTTAATGTAATGCTCAGTACTCTCAGCAGTTACCTTTTCATCCTGAGAGTGCATTGCAAGCACCCACAGAGAAAAAGAATCAGCATCTTAGTAATATCACCACCAGGGCAGCAGTAAAGACAAAAGAGGGAGGCAACATCCTCATTGGGCATTGCTGTCAAGTTTCCAGGTGTTTGGCAGGATGTCCTGGTATGCACAGCAAGACCATTGGAAGGCTCCATCCAGAAGGTACCTTCCAGTAACTGAGGTACTTTTCAATGAGAACAGGAGCCACCTCTCAGCTGCACATTGCTAAATCCTCACTGACAGCTGGGATTTTCAGTTGTATCTATGAACATAAGATTCCATTATCAGATTTTTCCTGAAGTAAGGTTTAACTGGGGTGTCAGTGTTAGGTACAGAAGATACTTATGGGGAACCTGTCAGATTGTTCATCCTTTCAGTTGATTGTGTTCATGACTAGATATTATATACTTGGGAGAATGACAGGCCTAGGCAGAAGGCAAGAGCAAGAAGAGCCATTTCCACAGTCAGCCTTTGAGATAACAAAAATGCACTAAAGCATTGTGTTATTAGATTTATCCATTCCTTCACTGAAAGAATTGCTTGACTAACTTGGAGCAATGTTGTCTTCCCCCAGACAGGAGATATGGGGGATTTTACTTAGTAGTTCTGTGGCAGAGGATTTGTGTGTGTCAGTCTGCATGCTCTCATGTGTGCACAAGTCATCTCCTCAGTGGTCAGAAGGCTGTTATGTAGAGCAGCTGACTTTTCCCCCCTTCTGTTTGTTGTGTGAAAGAAATAAAGTGCAAGATTGCCCTCATTACAGGGGAATGTGTACCCACCCAAACAGATGCTTACGTGCCCCCTCACTTCACATGCTTGGATCCAAGAAGCTCAGCTGGTGTTTCATTAAGCATAGCAGGCTTCTGGTCAGGGGCAGCCTGCTGGGCAAGCAGAATTAATTTCAAGTCACCGGTTTGAGAAGCAAAAGTAAATTCTATGTTAAAAAGCAGTGGAAAAAGTTGCTATTTACATTGCCTTAAAGAAAAAATCTCTGTGCATGTGAAGATGCTTATGGAGAGCCTCACTAAGGATGAACGTGTTTTCTGTTCCTCTGTTGGCACAGACTGCTGCTAGCTCTGTAATGGAGAACATTCTGCAGTAGCAAGAAGGGGAAGAGAGAAAAGTCAGAGGAAGAACCATTGTCCCCATATATGGGGAAACAGAGCAATCCATCTGCAGACTGAATGTCGAGAAGTAACTACTGATTTGTAATGCAAGGGAATCTTCTAGAGGTGCTTTAGACATTTGGCTTTCAATTTTAGTCTTTGGAATAGACTCTTCAGTGCACGAGTACTCACCTGTCAGCCCAGCTTAATCCAGTTAAGTCACTTTCTCTCCCAGAACACAAGGCGGTGAAAAAAAAAGTTCTTCTAATTGTAAGGCTAATAAGGTCCAGGTGAAATTACTATGATTTTTTTCCAGAAGTTCAGTCCAGGAAGTGGTGTGGTTTTATTCCTGCTGAGGAAAGAAAGCCTCTAAAGTTATCCACCTTTACATTCTTTACATGCCCTGCTATCACAGCAGCTGTGCAGAGCTGAGAGCACCATTTCCAGCTGCTTGTTACCCCTTGTTCAGATGAGCCATCCAACCTTCTGCTTTCAGTCAGAGCAAGGCACACAAGCTTATGCAGTTTCAGCAGTAAGTTAAGGAACAAAGACCTGTGGTAGGCAAGTAGATCAGGTTAGCAGTTTTACAAACAGCTCAGCTGTTAGATTTGGTGGAAAAAGTTGCATACAGCTGGAGAGGGCAGAGAGCAGCAGCCCTGTCTGCAGCTGGCACACGTCAGAGCTCCCAGCCTCATTCTTGCTTGCTATGGAGCTTCTCCTCAGCCTCACACTGCCTCTTCCAGTACTCAGCCCTGTGTGATAAAGTCCTCACCACAGACATGGCTCTGCCCACATTTCCTTGTTTAGTTACCCTTGCAGCACCAAGTCTAAAATCCCAGGTTAGTGCTGTTGAGCTGCTAATATCGCATTGTTGTCTATGCTTACTTAACTTCCCTTACTTAAGAAAATGCCCTTTAGATGCATCTTCTCTTTCCCCTTGCAAAAAGTTCTTAATGTTGATACCACATCACCAAGAGAATCAGTGAGCAAATGCCCTTAGGAACTTGATTTTCCCACAGCAGGATGAGCCAGACATAGGAAGCCAGTGGCTGGAAATCCCATGCAGCCTTAGGGAACAAGTGCACACTGTTTTTAAAATAGTCTTTCCACAAAGAGGGAGAGAAGCCAGCAAGCTTCCGCAGCTCCTTTGGGCTGTTCATTTCTGACACCCTAGTTAATTCACAAGGAGTTATGACGGTTACACTTGCAATGAAAATGCAGTGTTTTAGCAGCCCCAGAAAGGAGTTGTTTTTATATGCTTTCCCCTTGCGATTCATTCAAAGGGGGCGGTGTCATGTTAGTATAACAACAACCCTAAGCTCCACTTCTGTAGAGAAACATTTATCTTCTTAGAAAGAAAAGACAAGTTCCTTAGTCCTGTCAGTATCCTGCCTTTGGAATGAGGGCTTCAGAGTTTTAAGCTCCAAGACTCACAAAAGCATAAAAATTAAGAGCATCACCTTTATAAAGTAGCCTGAACTGAAGTACGACTTGCGGAATAAAACAGGTTCCCTAGGCAAGGTGGTGAACTTACCTCTTCAATAGCCTGGCCTGCTCCTCAGAGAAGAGAATCAAGCCTCCCTTCTCACCACAGGCAGTCCCATCACCTCCCCATAACCTACATAAAATAGGGGCTGCACGCTGCCCAGATGACTGGGAAGCAAGGCTATCTTCCTCTAGGGCCCCCAGCCATGCTGCTTTTATTGTGGCCTCTTCCTCGTGTAAATACAGGCCTGCCAGAGGCCAGGTGAAGATGTTTCACACTGATCACAGCAACTCCTTGATCCCAGCACATTGATGGAATGGCACCCTCTGGGTTCCTGCTGAACAAGGTGTGAAAAGTGGCCCTGCTTAACAAAATTGCATGCATTACACTCAGTTTTGCCAGTTCTGAAACTGTGAATGCAGAAAAGGAGGCAGGGACGTATTTGAAAAGGTTGTGCATGGTCAAATAAATAACTAAAGATAACATTTTGATGTAGGCACACCTGTAAAGGCTTCAGGTAATGCCAGTTAGGCTTTCTTGTGAGTTTTATGAAGTTACACATTTTGAAACAAAAGATAATGTTTGCAAAAGTATAATACTTGTATCAGCTGCGTGGAAGTATGGTTTTTCAGTACCCACACTGTGATTAGTAATCCACTTGTGAAGGAAAGCTGATTGTACTACTTACATGTGGTGTTATACATATACATGTATGGTGAGCATCTTTTTTTCACAGTAGAAGCAATATATTCAGTTGTTTCAGCTGAAAATGGTACTAATATGCTTTTTTTTTAAGATCAGATCTCAACTACTCTGAGAACATAGCATAGAACTGTAGAAGGGCTTGGACTGGAAGGGACCTGAAGGGTTATCCAGTTCTGTTTAACATATCCCATAGATAGCCACAAACTTGGTGTCAAAATAAGTGAAAACAAAAATCTTAGTATGAGCTTAACTGTAAGTTAAGCAATGAAAATGGCAATGAAAGCCACAGGAACGGCTGGGAAATAATAGAGCTCATTGGTTTTCTTTGTAATTTCAGTAGTGATTTCAGCATTCCCACAAGAATATCTTTAATCTGGATTCCAGTGTTAGAGTACAAGGTGCCCAGGGCTCCACCTCAGCGATCCCCTGGTGCTGTGATGTTCTGCAGTGCTCACAGCAGTGCACTTCACATCCGTGTATCTGTAGAGGCGCCTTGTGGAGCTCGTTCATACCTCAGTGTTCAGTGTTCAGAACCAAAATCCAGTCTTCTACCTACTCTGATCTACACTGGCATGGAGTTTATTGCTTGCAGTGGCGGTGCTTTGCTGTAGCTCTTTTCCAGACAACTTACTGTCTTTTCAGACAGCCATGCTGTCTAACGCTGCGCAGTGTTGGGATGGTTAACTTGTCTAATCCACTAATCCACGCCGCACATTTAAGCACTTCTCATATTCTAGTATGTTCCTAAAAAAGCACAGTAATTCTGATATGGAGTCCCTGTTTCCTGAGAGTTCTGCCTCAATCTGTCTAAATCCGCCTTGATTCCTCTCCTCTGCCTCTGCTTTCAGTGCACTCTGGTCCATTTACAAGATTACATTCCTCATGCAGCCGCCAGTCATTCCCCCTTGACTGTATTTTCATGGTGGTTTTCTCATTCCTTTCTTGGTCTCTATGCCCCAGGTTTTCCTTCCTTTCTCAAAAGAGACAAGATAATGAACTCGATTTCCTTGAGTAATCTCAATCCTGTCAGCTGGAAGTGGAAAACAAAAAAAAGGTTTGATCTGTACCGCAGCATGTGGTCTTGCCATTAAGCTAATTTACTGCTTTCACTTTGTAAATAACTTACTCTTGTCCAGAGCAGCAGCTGGTGATTTTATTTTCTGTCTTTTCAATACCACGTATCCTGAGGTGAGCCGTCAACTCCTTGTCTGCATGTCAATGACAACTGTTTGTTGCTCTGAACAATAACAGCAGAGGAGGGAGATCTTTAAAAGGTGCTTCTGTGACTGGTTTTCTCTTGAAGAACCTCTGACCCCCTCTGTGGTCTCCTCCCATGAGGTTAGAGGGCCATTAGCATTCACCCAAACGTTCACATCCTCACTTACTGCCCTGCCTTGGTTTTGAGAGTTCTAGGATTCATTGGCCAACTCATGCCTGGAAAAATCTGGCAGTCAGCAGTGGAAATGTTCTTGGTGTTTCCTCTTGGGGGCCTTGTCTGTAAGGGCTGTACTGCTGGCAAGGCTCAAGTATGCCCATTCCTCATGCACACGTGGGCTAACTTACACAAATGCAGTGAAATTCAGGCTGGTGCTGTCTCATGGGTTGTACATGGATCTGTGAACCATTTAAAGTGAGCCAGGAAGGAGGTGACTTGTTTCCATGCTGTGCCACTCCAGCAAATACAAGATTGGCGTTTGTCGTGGTGGACTTCATGAAAGCGCCTGTCTTAGTTGTTCCTCTGGCTGATTGGAATTTTTATTTTGTTTATTAGGTGGAGAGCAATAAGTGCCAGGGTTAAACACTGTTCTACTGTGAGATCTCAACAAGATTAAATCCCCTTGTGGTTCTCTAATTACATTTCAAGGATACTGAGGTGCTTTCCCAGAGAACCTGTGGTGATCTGTCTCTAAATGCATCCCTGGTTGCAAAACAGTGCTGGCTTGAAGCAGCCAGGGATGTGCTCTGTGCATTGTATTTCACAGCAGTGTTAGAAGTGTGAGAGTTCAGAAAAAAAGCCCAAAGTTTTTTGGGTGATTTGCCTTTAGTAAAACTCAGTGTCTTCTGCTCTAGCAATTCCAGTGCAGAAAGTCAGAGTTTTGCTGTGAGGCTGAACAAAACAGCACGACTGTGTTTGCAGCCTTAGTTCTATTGCACGTTAGCTTTCACTGTCATAAACACAAATCCTCATAGACCAATTAACAGCTGTCCTCTAGCAGCAGTACTCATTTCACCTTTTCTCTGGTGGCTGCAGTTGTCGTTTCTCTTGCAAGCTCTGTAAAGGAGTTTTCTTTTCAGGATTCATTCCTTTTTGTCACCTTTTAGCAGTACTTACGAGAGAGGGCATATGAGCACACCTGGAAAATGAAGGTCAGCTGTCTGGCCTGGTTTCCTGAATAGCATGCAGAGCAGTAATCCCACCCCGAGGGAATACACGCTGTCTTTAAGCCAGCTGCCTTGGGCAGTGTGCAGCTTGTGGTGCCAGGAGTGTTTGAACTGCAGTAGCTCCACTGTGTGAGTAAAGCAGTGCCTGTCATTTTTTTCCCCAGCTATACTGTTGCAAAAGGCTTTGGTGTAGATGAAATCTAAGGCTTTATATGCTAAAAATGTACTCCAGCTTAAGTATTTCTGCTTAATTTTTCCGCTCTGGATACCTTTATCCCAGGATGTGGCCAGTTTTGAATAACACAATTCACTTCAAAGCAGACCAAGCCGCTTTGGAATTGGACTGAATGCAGAATGAGAACATTCAGACAAGGGTTAAATACAGGCTGAATAGCTCAACTCTGAATTTGTTCTGGGCCTTATCTGGTTTGGCTCCTGTGCATTGGCAAACCCTTAATTAATTCAGCTGCTGGCAAGAGGTACTCTTTAAAAATTGATATTTTATTGATAAGCTATTGAGGAACAGAAGTTCTCTTTGCACTGCACAAGGAGGGTTTAGGCAGAATCAGTGTATGAATGCAAGAGAAACTCAGTGCTTGACCTTTTATTCCCACTTTTCTCTGAATGACATCAAGAATCTATTAAGTGCTCCTCTTACTATTGATTCTGGTGGTGTCAACACCTGTGTGTTTACAATTAGAATAAAACTCACAAGCTCATTTCCTGGAAGGTTGGAGCTACCAGACATTATGGCTGTAGGCTTTATTGATCTGGTGGGGCTTTGGAGAGCTGACTGTGAACCTAAAGATTGGCCAAATAACAACCTCTGAGCCTCTGAAGTCCTTTGCAGAAATTAATTCTTCCTTTTTTACAGACCTCTGTGAAATCAGGACGTGGCTCTGTGAAGAATGAGCTACAGATTTTCCCTGTGAGGAGTTTCTGCACAAGTCTTGTTCCATGGCAGTTTTTTGCTTTTGTGTAGGTGGGCACCTGACTTGACAGTGACTCTGAATTCTCCCCGGCCCAGGATCTGCTCTCAGCAGCACAAATTAAAGAGTGGCACTGCAGGCAGTTTTGCTTCTGCTCCTTCCCCATTCCCTGTGAGAACAAGAGGCTGAGCAGCGTCAGCTTTAACAGAAATGTGAAAAGTCAGGGCAGGGCTTTCTAGGAACTACTTCTGTCCCTTATGCAAAAGTGATGGCCGAATATGAAAACTCTTGGTACAAAAGTTGCCTGCTTTCCTGTGCCAGACATTCACTAATTATATAAGAATGGTGGCAAACACCAAACGATCTCACAGAATCACAGAATCACAGAATCACCCGGGTTGGAAGGGACCCCAAGGATCATGTAGTTCCAACCCCCCTGCCTAGCAGGGCCACCAAACATACACATTCAGATCAGGTTGCCCAGGACCCCGTCCAACCTGGCCTTAAACACGTCCAAGGACGGGGCATCCACAGCCTCCCTGGGCAGCCCGTTCCAGGGCCTAACCACTCTCCTAGTAAAGAACTTCCCCCTAACATCCAACCTAAATCTTCCCTCCTTCAACTTAAAACCATTTCCCCTAGTCCTGCTGTTATCAGCCCTTTTGAAGAGTTTACTCCCCTCCTGGGTGTAGGTTCCCTTCAGGTATTGATAGGCTGCAGTGAGGTCTCCTGAGAGTTCTTTGAGCTTATGGTTTTATAGATAATGGGTTATGTAGTGTAATCTTACTGTTGGCACTGTTAGATTTTGGAATTTACATTTAAGGAGCTCTGGTATCTCAGGATTGCTGCTAGAGGTTTCTTAGATTGCTTTCCAGATCTGTTATTTTTCTTCATAGATGGAAGCACTGATTCTTGTTAAGGCTTTCTTGTTATAGTTCCAACAAGCAGAATCCTTTCATATCATTTTGGGAGGGTGAATCAATCTCCTGTATTCCATCAAAACTTTTATGGGAAGAAAAGTTCCCACTGATACATCTGGAATGAAGATTGAACTTTGTATCAAATTTTATACTTACAGTTAGCATTATATATCAGTTATCCCAGACACTAAGAGGATAGCTAACTCAGCTTGGGTTAACAAGAACGGTGTAAAATAAAGTGTTCTCTTTTGAAGA